CAAAATCCTAAGGAATTTATAAATTGTGTGGGTGATATGCCCCTGGTAGCGATCATATATTGAAACCGTTGTTCGTGCCAAATACTAATAAGAATAGAGCCTGTACTGAATACAAACGTCCACTATACGCACGAGCTTGAGGCCAACGAACGACCTTTACCTTGCTTTAATTGATGCATTGCATTTACCAGTATACCGACGCAATTGTAACCGCTGAAACTTCACGCGGAGCTGCTCCGCTGACCGTTCCGGAGATTAGGTTTCACTTCATAACAGTGCGCGGGGGTACGACTGAAATAGCCCAGCATTGCCCAATACCAGCATAATTTTCATGCTTCACCCCGTGCGCAAGCATGGTGCAGAGCAAATTAGCCAACATGGTTACTTGCTGAAAGTAACAGGGACTAAATCCCTTCATGGATGTAAACCAACGAGTCAATGAGCTGCAAGCCGCCAAAACAATGGTCGTAATCCACACGCTAAACCCCAAAATATTTCTATTCCATGCAGCCTAGCCCCTTCACCACTTTCGATAAAGAACGCCCTGCGCCACAGTGCTATCAGTACACTGCTACCTCTCCAGCCTGTCCGTTCTTCTGGAGGCTAAACCTCCACGCTTACCCCCTGCTCCCCCTCCTTTCGGTACGCCCTGCGCCACACTGCTACCTCTCCAGCCTGTCCGTTCTTCTGGAGGCTAAACCTCCACGCTTACCCCCTGCTCCCCCTCCTTTCGGTACCAGATTGCGGAAGAATTCTAACCTAACCTAACCCTTTCGCGGAAAGGTGGAGAGAAGGGGGTAAGTGTGGAGGAAGAAGATGCTGGTGAGCGTCAGGGCTGGGCTTACGCCTGCGAAGTGGGTACGGTGATGCGACAGTCCGGTGCGGGGCCGTTCCCATTTACGGCAGTCTGGTGCGGTCTGCGGACCCTGTGGCTTACGGCATTTGTAAGAAGTGATGGTATGGGCTTAAATCATTGGTGTAGGAGCTATTGGGCGTAATCCGTTTGGATTATCAGCATGTGGGCTGAGGCCACCTCTCGCCTTCACCAGCACCAGTTATAATCATGCTATGGTTAGTTTAAACTTCTTGAGAAATTTTTTATTGGGAAATGATAGCGTAATTCGCCTTACCGTTGGGGAGGCGTTCTTGTCGCTTCGATTACAGCCAGCGGCCCAATTTTAGAAATAATTATCAGTATTCAGCATTTGTATGCGTATATTACGATTTACAAATTTTATTTGATAATTAAATACTAGAGTATTTACATAATTACATATTACAATACTTTCGACAGTTTACTGTTAATGTTGTAGGAAGCCGCTTTCAATGATCCTGAAAGGAAGTAGGAGTTTCCTATCAGGGGTCCTAAGCTGCCAAGACGCGTAAAGAAATATAAAATTGAAGCAAGAGCATAATTCTCTGTGTGAATATTGTAAATAGTCTGCAGAAAATTATTCACAACTAATTCATGTTAAAGTTTAATATGTGTCATTTGATGGATGAATTTAGTGCACTTCTTACGTTCATCGTGTTAAATTCAATTGTAGCTTTTCAGACGTGATAAAAGCTGGCAAACTGTTATGTCATTATTCAGGGTTAAGGGGACCCCAGTGCCTAGGTTTTTACAAAGGTCGTTATTTATATTATATTTCCTTACTTTAATGAATAAATAAATTTACAAAAAGCCAAAGATTGAATAAAATGGTGGATTGGGATGGTTGTAGGGGAGGTGGAGGCCATCACAAGGCCATTGTTTACCTAGCCTTATGCACCAAGCATCCTCAGGCACAAGCTTGCTAGCAATCACCTCCAGAGTCAGCATCCTGTAACAATGTCTAATTGGCTATCATTTTTCTGTATTGAATAATTTTACATTATTTCTGGTGTAAATAAATGCAACCCTCCATGACTATGGGGATTGTGACTGGTTTATTTTTTTGAATCTGATATACCGAAAGCCCTTACAAGCTGTTTCATTAAAGTTCGCGCATAAAGTTCTACACATCACTTTATGTATTCGCCGCATAGATAAAATCTTCAACTATTTTGCTTCCACCAAATTTATTCGTAACTTATAAATTATTGATATCAAGTTTAAAATTACCTAGGAGTATATTTAAAATTAATAATGGAGAAAATTACATGGAGAATGGATTGCGAATGAAAAATTGGACCATAATTGATTAATGTAAGCGCGCCGATAGATAAGAAGCTGAAACACCACAGTTTCATCTGATTAACTCGAGCCATTGATGAACATTCGTTAATTATATGCTAAAATTCGAAATAACTTCATCAACACAACCTAACGGTGATGTTTAGCTCGTGAAAAATTTTTAAATTTCACCTTAATTCGTGAGTTAGGCCTATCTGACGATAAGTGCCGAAATTTGCAGCGAGCCTGACATTTCTTCTAAACTACTGTACAGATTTGAACGAAACTTTGAATACAGAAACCTAATCTCCCAACGGTGATGTTTAGTTCGTGCTAATTCTTTTTCGATTTCGCCTTCGTTTGCGAGTTATACCACGGATATACTGAGAAACAAACGACATTTCTCAGGCTGAATTTTAAACTTGCATTGACCAAGAGCCGTATTCGTAAAGCCGTATAACTCGCAAACGAAGGCAAAATCGAAAAAATTGTCATGAGCTAAACATCACCGTTTTGAGATTAGGTATTCATTTACGAAGTTTCGTCAAAATCTGTTCAGTATTTTAGAAGAAATTTCGTGCTCACTACGAATTTAAGCACGTTTTGCTGTTTAAATCACGAATGAGGTAAAATTGAAAAAAAACTTGCAAACTTAGGCAAAATCTAAAAAATTGTCACGAGGTAAACATCACCGTTGGGAGATTAGGTTAGGTTTCTATAATCAAAGTTTCATTCAAATCTGTACAGTAGTTTAGATTTTAGAAGAAATGTCAGGCTCACTCCAAATTTCGGCACGTATCGTCAATCGTCATATAACTCGCGAATTAAGGTGAAATTCCAGAAAATGTTCACGAGCTAAACATGAGTAAAACATCACCGCTAGGTCTCAATGAATACGTGTACCAAGTTTCATCCAGCTGCGTTCATTACTTTGGGAGATATTCTTTGCTCACTGAATTTGGGGACACCGGCCGCGAGTTTGGCCGTAAATTTGTCCGAGATTTGTATCAACACATTCTAACGTAACTCCACTAGTAAGCAAAAAAAATTAATTTTACTCACATATCATAAGGAGCGGTAGCCTTGGAGCCTCATCAGACTTACCGTAGCCAGTGGAGACTTTAGAACACATGTTCAGTCACATATACACGAAGCTGGAAGCTGACTTTGAACAGACTTCTTCTTTGTCAATTCCTTGTGGAAGACTTGTACCCGCCGCATCAGCCATCAGTCAAGAAAGATGTTGACTTCGGTTGTCACTTGCTTATTCAATTGCCTGAACCCAGGTAAATGAACATGCTTATCAAGTAATCGGTTGCATACACTTTTTGGGAGACTCATAATATTTCTATAAACTTGAGCGACGCATTTGGATGCGAATTAAAATGTTACCACAATAGTTTTGTAACTGAACATTCTTGCCCTCCTTTAGAAAGAACATGGCGGAGCTATGTTTCCTCACGTGGACGTGGTTCCTTCATAGTTTGCATGTACCTAGTCAGGGGTAGGAAAGAGTAGACAATTTAGTGAGACTAGTACAAGTGCTTAACACTGATAATGATTGATGTCAGTACAAAGAAAACTTTGTGTCATAGTATGCCACTTGGTATAAATTCTATGCTTTTCCATATTACTAGGATATTAACTCATTAACGTTCGAGGCACAGAAAACCTTACCTAATCCTTCAAAAAAAAAAAAAAAATCGTTTAGCATGATAGCTTTACGACGAAAATTCTACGTTAGTACGAAAAAAAAGCTTTGAACATTTACTTATTCTAATAATGAAATAATGGGATGGAAAAATGAAAATATTATGTTATTGGAAATTTAACTTTCCACGTCACAGGTACATAATAATATTATGCACATTAATGGAGCTATGACTTCATCGGTGATTTCAGGTGCCACGACAGACAAAAACATAGGCGAACTCTCTGCATATCTAATGTAGAGGATTACACCAGGGTTGAATTAATTAATTAATTCAACCAAGGTTACACCTCCCCAAAAAACTATGAGCAAATTAAAGTTACTATATTATTAATGATCTACATTATCAGACTGAACAAAGTGGCATTTCATTGTTAGGAAGGTAAGGTTTTTTCAGAAGTAGTAGTATAATGGTTTGCTAGTGCTTCAGCTACCAAGCTTTTTCGCCGCGAAGGTTCAAAATATAACAACGCCAGCGAGGCGGAAGGTCTAAATTAAAATCTCAATTATTCAAAATCGCAAATGAATCATCACCCACAAGGGGCGGAAAGTCTCAATTGTCCACTCTGCTGAAGCTAGCTATAAAGAAGCAGCGTTAGCATCTCAAAAATACGAGGTGGTAAGGAGGGACAGGTGAAAAGCAACAGAAACTAAGACACTCTAACAAGAGGTCGCTTACACGGTACGTCGGCCGCCCGCGCGAGAGAGACAGAGAAGGGAAATGTAAGGAATCCTATCAACATAATAACTAAACCCCGCAGTCAGACACCGCGAGCTCAGCGGTGGAGGGCTCAGAAACATTTCCCCTAGGAGCGCGAAATCCCATAGGACTTCAGACGAGCACAGACACGCGTCAGAAGTCCCCCATGAGGGGTAGGTTTTTTATTGAAGGGTCTCAGTTGTATCTAAAATCAATGATATTCGGTTACAAAATAGCGCAAAAAAGTCACGTCCTTCTTTCTCGTGATTTTATAAGTACTTAATTCGTAAAACTTGCTTTAGTACCCATTTTTTTCTAGCCTTTATTTTCTGCATATCAAGTCTCGACAAAATGCTCACAAAATTTGCTTCAACACTCAGGAAACTAATTACAAACAAGCTAATCTATGAGTGGCAGGAATAAGACAAAGGAGAATCAATTTACAATTTATTGAATAAATAAAAAAAGGCGTGACTAGCCAGTTCAACAGAGAAGTTATGTTCACAGCCAGTTTCTAACTATCAACTTCGATTTCTTCTAAATTTAATTGCGATTGATTGTTGGAATGTTAGCGGAATACTGTTGGTTGGTATATATTGGTGTTACGTGTTGCGAATTATTTTTCAGCGAAAAGATTATTACTTTTTGGCAAGTATATGTTCTACATTTTATCCAATATGAAATTTCATAAGGATTGCGAAATTAGTAAGTCATATAAAAAGACTACGTAGGTAAGTACGTATCAGTATCATAACACTAAAGCCAGTTGAAAATGTCAGAAAAACTTGCGACCTTAACGACGGTGTTCATAGAAAATATGAATTTAGCAAATAAATAAGTGCGAGAAATGGAATAGAAAACACAGACACTTAAAAAATAGTTAACAAACTGAAAAGGTGCTTCAAGCACAATAACACCTCACCAAAACTAGCGCAACAAACAAATCACTAAAACTAGCGCAACAAACAAATAACTAAAACAAGCGCAACAAACGCACCTGAAACAAAAACCACAACAAACCACTGCTACTCTATAACAACAAAACAGGTGCACAAGATTGTAGAAATACCATGAATAAAACTTAATAGCAATGATAACGACTGAACTTCAAAAACAAAGCCAAAAAAATAGAGCCAACAATATAAATCTTTCACAAACAAATCCAGTAATAATATAACTTCGCCAAATGCATAAACCAAAAAACACTTATTCCTAAAAAAAAGATTCGTCAAGGAAAAGACGTACGCAAATATTTGGTGGTTATGGCGAAGAAGACATCAAGCCAAGTAAGTAGGTACTTTGTGTACAGCTCTTCAACACCTCTATAATAATTACTAAAATAATTAGCCAAGCATATTAAAAGTCATGTAGTTCTGTAAGAAATTAGGAGATGATAAAAATACGAGCGGTAATCAGATAGAAGGAATTTCAAAATAATATTTTTGCACACAGTCGTTAATCAGCTTCATGAATCGCTCGTGTATGATTTATTTACTGTATTCCAATACCGTATTATCTTGACAATATTAGGCGAATAGAGTATTTAAAATATTATTGATGAATCTGAACACGATCATACGCTCGTATAATAAGGCTGTGAAAATCCTGCTCCACATCTAATGTCATTTTTAAAGGCATAACTGAAACAATTAACAATATCTTAGCGAGCAGGTTTCTCTATGAGATGGATATAGAAGGCAGGGCGGGCAATGTGCCCCAGAGGCTGGAAGTCCCCGTAGACGCTGTGTTGAGCCTCGGGCCCGAACGTCTCCCTCAGCAGCGAAGTAAAGGAGTCCAGACGGTGAGGGAAGTACGAGAGGCGGAACTTGCTGCAGAAGAACGGAAGGTTTGAATATGATATCTATTGAATGCACTCTTCGTTCAAATTGTGCAATTATGGCGGTCCTCGAAAGTGTTCAATGCAATGAGACCCCAAAAATAGCTTTTTCAACATCATTGCATACACTTTACCGCAATTGAAGTAACAATGTAAACAAGATTCTACCTTCAAATTTGAAAGTACATCTTGATACAAATAAACTTAAAATATTCATCTGGATTTCCCCAGATTTTTCAGTCAAACTGAGACTTTTTTACTTACTTTTGCGTGACTTTCTGAAGTCTGCCACGCTTGGCCCGCTCAGAGTCGGTGTCGTCTCTGAGATCTTTGTCACCGTCGAGTTTTATGACGTAGTCTAGCGTCACCAGCACGGGCGTTCCTTCCGTCACCACCACTGATGTGATGATCGACTCAACATGCTCACTCTGAAAAATAACATCGTATATAATTTTCTCCCACTACCAGACCTGGTCCTTGGAGGTGACTTGAATGCAATGCATCCAAGACTGGTACAACCCACAAGACACCACTGCTCGAGGGGTGGAGATCTGAAACCAACTAGAGCTGCTCTTCATCTTTAACAATACACTCACTCCCACTCACATACCACATCAAGCCCTACATAGACCTGCCCCTCCAGACATCACCTTCTGCTCCTATCACTATCACACAGGATTTCCTGGAGAGCGAAAACGGACCTCTCATCCGACTTTTTACCCATTATCATCGCACTGCCTTCCACCAAAGACACCAACCTGCACACTTCACAAACCATTCGCAATTACAATAGAAACTCCTGGGAAGAATTCACCAGGGAAACGGAGGTCCGCTCCGCGAGCTGAACACACAACCTATCACCAAACATTGACCAAACCCTCACCCACCTCGACACCATCATCGCCGAAGCTGACAAGAAATATGTTCCCAAGGGCAACAGGAAAATGTACAACCCTAATTTCACACCTGACATCTCCCGTCTCATCAGAACATGCAACAACTATATGCGCAAATCAAAACCTCAATAATGCATAAACAAAAGTAACGCTGGGAAGAATTTGGGGCAACACTCGACCACAGCACCAATCCCTCAAAACTATATAGAACAATCCGGAGCCTCACTAACTCCAACAGTGGCCTCACCCCACCTCACTCAGCTATTACCACCTAGGATACCATCCCTTCACGCAAAACAGTCCAACATATTGATAAATTATTATGCCAGCTTCAGTCACCTACTCAAGCATCGGGTAGACAGACAAATTCACAGGCGCAAACACAAATTTCCACTGGACAACAATTACATCCTAGCCCCAACATTTGACATCTCACGCGTCATAAAACAGCTCAAAAATTCTTCAGCCATGGGGCCAGACAACATCTCCAACATTCATCTTGAGCACCTCGGCCAGCATGGTATTACCAGTTACCACTATCACAAACATAGCTAACTTTTCATATGCCTACTCCATTATATAATCAATCTGGAAAACTGGCAAAATCATAACTCTCCTGAAACCGAACAAACCCCCTACCGAGGCAGCCTCATACAGGCCCATTACACTCTGCACACCATCCAAAGTTGTAGAGCGCCTCATACTCTCAAAAACCACGCCCCACATTCCCCTCTCACCCACACAACACGGTTACATAACCCATCACTTCACTACCACATTCCTCACCAGCCTCACACAACGTATACAAGATGGCATTAATTACAAGCGCCCAGTGCATCGCACAATCCTGATTGCAATAGACAATTGCAAAGCCAATGATGTCATCCGGCGCCCCCCGATCTATATGCCCCCAATCTCTGCCGCGTCTACGTCGTGGGGGTACCCTGGCCTGCGCGTCGACCGGATGCCCGGCATACTTGTGAGTCAGGCCAAACGGCAGAGGCCCTCCGCCCGGATCGCTACCGGACGGAGGCTCCTTTCATCATTTTTTACCCTAAGGGAAGGGGAACCTCGGCCTTCCCTTCCCCCTACCCACTTCTTTGGCCGCCTATCTTCCTTGGGGCACCTTACACCCTCCTCCCCTCCCAAATTTTCTTCCTATTCGTCCTTCTTCTCCTGACCCAGGGTATCCATCCCAACCCTGGCCCGTACTCCTGCTCAGTCTGCTCCCTCCCGGTTACATGGCTGTGTTACTCGTTCTTGTGCTCCATGTGCAATGCCTGGACCCACAAGCGGTGCTCCGGCCTTCGCTCTTTTCACCTCTACTCCGCAGACTGGATGTGTCCTACGTGCAGACGGCCTGACCCGAGCCCAACCAGACCCCGCCCTCCAGCCTCCCTCCGCGCTTGCCTCCATTCGCCTCTGCGTCCTCCAGTTTAACTGCAATGGGATCCAATCCAGCGCAGCTGAACTGGCTGCCTTCCTCGCACAGCACGATGTTGCGATTGCCTGCACCCAGGAGACTAAGCTATCAGCGGCCTCCCGCTACCCCTCTTTCTCTGGATACGCGCTGGAGCGTAGGGACCGTCCCGGTGGCCACGGTGGCAGTCTCCTAATCCTGATCCGTCACGACATCCCGTACACCGGGCGTGATATTTCTCCCCTCCTGCGTGACGACGCCACCATGGAGGCCTTAGCCATCTCCACCCCTCTCAATGGCTCCTTTCTCTGTATCAACAATATATACATCCCGCCGGCCTCCTCCTGCCCCCCTGGATATTCCCGGAGCTCGCCGACATTATCTCCATACCCGGCGACTGTCTGATAGCTGGCGATTTTAACGCCCATCACCCTTCCTGGTTCTCCCATACGGAAGACCAGAGAGGCTGAGAGCAGCAGCGCGAGGAGCCGTAGTCGACGACCTCGTCGCCGGTTCCTCCCTCGCCTACCTCAATGAGGACTCCCATACCCGCCTCCCCTCCCATGGCCCGCCCTCCTCGCCGGATCTCGCCATCATCAGCGATCACCTTTTCCTCAACACCACCTGGACTCCTCAAGTCGCCCTGAACTCGGACCACCTGCCCATCTTGATTCATCTTCCTTCCTCCGTCGACTCCCCGACCCCCCCGGACCGCTCGCTCATACGTCAACTTTAAAAAAGCTGACTGGCCCGCCTACACGGCAGCCATCGAAGCGGCACTCGAGATGGTCCCTCCCCCCACCTCGTGTGGTGGTGAGTCGACCTTGAGAGAAGTCTTAACGACTGCTGCCAGACTAGATATCCCTGCCGGTTTCCGGAAAGACTTCTCCCTCTCCATCAACCCTGACACCCGGTTGCCCATCGAGCAACGGGATGTTATCAGGGCGCATAACCCAACCGACCCCCGGCTCCCAGAACTCAATCTGGAAATTAGTATTTCCATACAAGCCCATGCTAGGAACACATGGCGAACCCATCTTGCGTCATGCAGCAGGCGCACAAACCAGTCTAAGCACTGGAATCACCGCTCACTAGCCAGAAAGCGACACCGCCCTCCCCCCAATCAGCCAATCCAATTTGGTCTGAATTCCCTCTCTTCCCAGCGCAAGATATCCTCCGCTTTCTGCAAGCTATTTACCTTGATTGCCCCTAACTCCCAAAGCCCTTCCACCCGCCACCTCATATGTCGAATCCGGGCTGAACATCCCCTCGATAGGGATTTCTCCCCTTTCACACTAGACATGGTGAAGCTTGCTATCGCAGCCGCCAACAATTCTTCCTCACGGTCCTTCATCTCAAGCACCTCGGCCCACGTGGTCTCCAGTTCCTCATCCGAATTTTTAACATCTCCGTCTCCACAGCCTCGATTCCATCCATTTGAAAAAATTCAATAATTATTCCAATCCTTAAACCGGGCAAACCTGGAAACCAGGGCTCCTCATACCGCCCTATTTCCATCCTCTGCCCTGCAGCCAAGATCGTAGAGCGTCTTGTGCTCCCATACATCTTAGGATCCCTCACCACCGTCCCCTCGCAACATGGGTTGAAACCGGGACACTCCAGTGTCACAGCCCTCCTCTCGCTCGTGCACCAGATCGCGACGGGTTTTAACTTTCGGCGCCCCCCAGCCCGTACAGTCGCCGCTGCAGTAGACCTCTCGAAGGCTTTCGATAGTGTCGACCACCCCCTCCTAAGCATGATCGCGGCCTCGGACCTACATCACAACCTGGTCCGCTGGCTGTGCTGCTACCTTAGAGGCAGGCAGGCATCCTGCCTCTACCTGAGAACTCAATCTCCTTTCAGAGCTATTCACTCGAGCGTCCCCCAGGGCTCAGTCATCTCGCCGGCACTTTTTAACCATTTCATCTCCGTCATCCAGGTGCCGTCCCCCAACATTGCCTCATACGCGGACGACCTTACCATCTTCGTGTCGTCCCCGAGGCTTGACGCTGTGGAGGCTGAGCTCGCCGTACTTCTTCGGAGCGTCTCAGATTGGTCGGTGGACAAGAAACTGGCCGTGGCTCCTGGTAAGTCATCAGTCACGCTTTTCACCCCATATACGCACCAATCCCGATACCACCCATCTGCCACAATCTGCAACGGCATCATCCCCCTGGACAAAACCCCCAAAATCCTAGGCGTCACCGGGGATACGCACTTCACTTTCTCCCCCCCCCCCCCCTGCAAGAGCCATAGCCACGAAAGCGACTGGCTCTCTTCGCATCTTAAAAGCCCTAGGTGGTACCAACTGGGTCTTCTCCAAGGAGGACATCATTGCCACCTACCGAACCATCACGCGCCCAATCCTCAACTACGCGGCCCCCATCTAGTACCCTGTTGCCTCACGCACAGCAGTCGCCAGCCTGCAGATAATACAAAACATTGCATTGAGACCAGTCACCGGCTGCGTCAAAATGGCCCCGATCTCCCATCTTCACCAGGAGACCGGCGTCCTCCCTTTGTCGGCGTGCTGGACTATGCAGTTCCTCGCCAGCGCCCTCCAGCCCTTCCATACCTCTTTCCGCATTGTCTGCTCCACTGGGGGACCGCCCCATGAAAGCCTCCATTCAGTCGAGGTTCGGCCACCTTGTCACACCACTCCTGGCAAATGGCATCTTACCCGCTGGTGCATACGGAGAAGCCAAACAAGCTCTCCGCAGGGAGATCACCTCCCGTGTCGCGGCGACTGACGCCATGAACGCCGTCCTCGCTGCTCCTCCACCGCCGATTGCATCGGCTTAGGCCTCACTCCCGCGCCCCCTACCGTTCGGCGCTTTCCCAGCTCCGCTCGAGATACTGCAGCTCCCTGGCGTCCTACTCCGCTAGGATCGGACGCTCCCCTAGCTCCGCCTGCCCAGAGTGCAGGGATCCCCTTCAATCGGTCCAGCACCACTTCGCCTGCCCCGCCTTCTCCACGTCTCTCAGCGTCTCCTCACTGTGGGACAGCCCCGTGGAGGCAGCGGCATTCCTGGCCACCCCCTCCCTGCCTTCGCCCACCTCCCCCCTCTTCCGGTGCCGGCAACCTGAGCCTATCCCCCCGGCGAGCGTGACGGACGCAATAAACAACAACAACAACATCCAGCGCCTCCTACTCAGACAAAATCTACAATACAACACTACATAAAAACACCAGCCGTTGGCCTGCAGACTATATAACAGGCAGACAGTCGTTCGTTCACTACAATGTCAAGTCATCACACACAAAGAACATGCCGAACGGAGTACCCCAAAGATCAGTCCTCTCACTAACCCTTTTCAACCTTTACATACATGACATTCCTGCCACACCAGGCAACATTCACATTTTATCTTACGCAGACGACATCACAATTACCTCGATACACATCAATGCAAACACAAGCTCCACAGAAGTACAACCCTACATCACACAACTAGGAGGCTGGCTAGCACGCAACAGGCTCAAAGTAGCCCCACTAAATCAACAAGCACACTACTAACAAGCCACACAACAGAGGATCAGCACAGACCAACAGTCACACTAAACAACACCATCACGCCACACATACACGAAACCAAGATTCTAGGTGTCACTTACAACACTTTAATGTCTTTCGGGCCACACATACAGGACATCAAAACAAAATGCAGACCTAGGCTAAACACACTCAGAGCCCTCACAGGAACAACATTCGGACAGAACAAAGAAACCCTCGCACTCGTGTACAAACAATACATACGCTCAGTGCTAGACTATGCAAGTCCAGCCTGGGCACCCATAATTTCGCCCACACTCCACAATTACCTAAAAACCATACAAAGCACAGCACTCAGAATTGCACTTGGCAGCACCCAAACCACACCATCCAGTCACGTCCACGCAGAAACCAAAGTCCATCCTCTGAAAGAACACCTAGACATGAGAGGCGCTCAATTCCTTGCATCAGCACTATACAACCCACTCAGCCCCTGCCACCACTTTCAGCACTAACCCCCTTCACCCAGACAAATAGCCATCATTCAATACAACAACTAGGAATCTCACAATAATTAATTCCTTACCACTGCCCGCAGACCCAGCCAACTTCATTAAACATATAAATATATACACACACACACCTAACTTGGAACGCAATCTCAAATGAGTAAATCAAACAATCATTGACGACTCACCGCCAGACATCATGCAGACAGGGTGCACCTAAGCAGACTACGCTGTGGTCACCATCCATCACTATACTCCCAACAAACACCGCCTGTACAGCACTCACTCATACCTGTACCCCAATGTCATGCACTCCCCCACACCATGGAGTATCTTCAGCTTGATTGCCCAGAGCTGGCAGCACCAAGGCTCGGGGCAGGCATAACATCCGTCACACAGCTGTGTCCGAGTTGGCTCGGAAGGCGGCTTTCTTGTGCAGCACAGGCATCATGGCATATCCGTGGCTCGGGAACGTCAACAACAAAAGCCTGGGCAGCTACGCAAGTCTCAACAACAGCCCTGCCGGTTACGCAAGTCCCAACAACAACAGCCTGGCTGCTTAACAAGTCTCAACAGCCCTTACGGTTATGCAAGTCCCAACAACAGCCCAGGCGACAAAAAAAGTCCCAACAATAGCACGGCCGCCTTACGTTGTAGTAGATGTTGCGAGTGGGAGCAGTGCCACGATCAAGGATGTCATCGTAGTTCCTGTGGTCGATGAGCAGCACGCCCCCAGGCTTCACCATCGCGCAGAAATTGCTCAATGCCAACCTGAGACCAGAAAACATTAAATCTCCAAAAATTGGACTGTAAAAACCCACTATAGTTTGAAGTTTATAGTTTTTCAATCAAAAATTTGGAAAGTGTAAGTTTGAATGTTGTAGGTTTACAAGTTAGTTTACTATTTGAAAGATTCTGAGTTGCATTTCAAGAAGTGTAGGTATTTATCGAATTTAAAGTTATCCTGTATAAATTTAGTAATTATTCTGCATTTAAGATGGAAGTGAACATTTCAAATTTTCAAAGTGTAATAAAGTGCAGAATTACTATATTTTGGAAAGGGCATTGCTACAGAGCATAGGTACTAGCGTCTTTGTTGCTGAATTGAAATTGCGGCACAAGTGCAAAATTTGACAAGTACAAACAGGATCTCACATTTTTTATCTAGGAGAGAATCACAATTCAACTAGAGAAATGTCTTTGTAATTCACCAGAGGAAAGTCAGATAATTTATCTCATAATTGTTATAAAATATGTGCTAAGAATGAGAAGGCACCTCTGGTTAGCAAAGTCACATTCCTCATTAGGCAGATGTGCAAAGGAGTTGCCGAGGCAGATGACTGCATCAAACTGCTCCTTGCCGTCTATGTCTTCCATCAGCGTCATCCAGTTGGCTTCCTCGATTTCTGGAAAAATTTTTGGTAATACTAATTAATTATTCATTTACATTATTTATAAAAATTGTCAAATATGGTAAACAACTGATTCTAAATTGTTATAACTATAAAACTGGTCCTCCAAAGTTTACTTTTTTATAGAGGAGTGTTCCTTCATGTACCTAACCTGGAATAATAATAGCATTTTGCAAGGGATAAATTTGGCGGCATGAGATGAAAATAAGAAAATACAATAACAGGAGTTACAGGACTTTGTTTAGGAGCTGTTGCAAATTCCAATTACCAACCTTTATGGTGATCATATCAATGATACACAAAAGAACAGGCAAGTTCCCATTATTGTCATTGTCTTATAGTCAAAATTATAATAGTCATGTCATTCAGTCAAGGTAGTAACTCAAGACTGAAAAAATCAACAGCAAATCCAGTATAACATAAACTAGTAGTACGTGGATAAGCCACCCACCCCAGGCATCAAAGGCAGGCTCCTTCCTGCGTTTCCAGCGCGTCTTGAGCGCATACTTTAGCATCTTATCGGAGAGGTCGACGCTCGTCAGCCTGAAGCCTTCCTCCAGCAGCATCACTGAGTCAATCCTGAAATGATTAGTTACACTTATAATCACCATAGATTGATTGGCTTGAATGAACAGTAATTAAAAAATCCTACTTTGGGTAATAACTTATGCACGAAATTTTATGAGCAAATTTAATGTATTTGTTAGGTTGATTTTTGAGGAGTAAACACGCAGTTAACAGACACGTCATTTGTTTACATCCTTGTTTGTAATGGTTTCCATCATTATTGACATGCACAAAATAATTACAATCAAGATCTATTTTGATCATGGACACCAATAAAATCGAGATACTTATCCCATTTCAATTTATGTCAGAGGTCTGAGCCAGATTGAGGAAACTGGGTCTATAGTTGAAGGCACATTTATGATCTGATAAATTATTTACAAAGACAACTTGAAGGGGGTCTGCCTCAATGCATTATGCCATTAACGAGTCATTATCATTAACTTGTGTGCAAGTTTTATAATGTGGTGCAACAAGCTTAGTGCATATGACTCAATGTGGCACGCATGACAGTGACATCTGATATTACTGAGAAGCCATATGACGCTTGCAAGACTCATGGGGAGTTCTGGGAAATTTTTCTCAGTACTGAATAGCTGTTTTTTATTAAGAAAGTGAGAACCGATTAGGTGAAATCACTTCGACAAATAGGAACCTACGCCTAAAACAACATTCATCTGTCTGCAAAAAGGCCGATATTGATGACCCATATGATAAACAATCAAAGAGAACTGCACTACATCAAGAATATCATGAAAGCAGCAACCAAATTTAAATAATATTAGAAGTATAAGACTGACCAAATTTAATCTAAGAAATTCCAACTGTTGATAAATGCAAAGAAATTTTAATTTTATGGGCCATTACTAAACAGGGTGAAGAGGAATCAAAGAAAATATTTCAATTGAATGTTTTAATTAAATAGATTTGATTCTCCTTTAAAAAATAACAAAATTTGAATCTCCCTTGAACTATGAGATTGATGCAAAACATAAATTTGATTTTCAATGGGTTGGGAACAGGTATTACTCTTATTATTACCTTCATTTGAAAAACATTAACAATATTCTTGATACAGTATAACAAGTTTCTTGTCATTTAGAGCAAAGAGATTTCCTGTCTAACAGTCATCTGTCCATCTAACGAGCTCATAAAATATCAGTCCTGAGCAATGCCATGCTATGCCGCACGTACATTATGTAGTATGAACTAGCATAGTAGTATGTGGTTGACAAGTGGGACTCTATCCTGTACTATTATAATTAGGCATATGGATTTGATGCAAGATTTGTTGAAGACCACTCAGTAACTCTTATTTAACAATTAAGCTATTATTTCTTCCAATTATGCTTGAGCCAATTTTTAAATCAAGCCAATTTTAGGCCTGATTTGAAAGTTTGGCTACCAGGTTTCCAGGATATATTTTATTCAAATAGAATTGTCTCATTTGCCACCTATGAAGGTGACAGGTGGATCACTTGGTGGATCAAGGGACCACATGAGGGAGGTTAACAATGATACCTACAGTAACGAACGCTAGGGCATTGCCATGCGGTCCTCCGATGTTACGAGGCTGGGGATAGTGGAGGCCCTTTTATCGAGGATTAATCTGCAGCTATTTTTTTTTTTTGGTTATGCAGCAGTTGTTCTTTTGATTCATCTACCAATTTGTTCCAGAAGTTATCTGCAAGTTTGATTAATGACTATATAATACTTTTATTAATAATTTTCTTGTTCATTTCTAGTATTTTTTAATGAGTTGAACAACTTTCCTTGCTAGCATTGGCAGATCACAAAGCAGGTCACCAAAAGACATTTTAATGTATTATAAGACTTTTGAATACAGGACAATATTCATTATCAAGTTAATATAAATGAAGGGTTTTACAACAGTAGAATAACGAATTTTGAAATGAAAAGTAGAAATAAAGGGCATAGTATACAATTAAAAAATTAAATCTATTTATTCACAACCACTAGATTTGTCCAGAAATTGATATGGTTTACTTTCAGAGTATATTTGATATAAATTTTTAGTTTTATTCATGATACTCAATTGCTAAATAAGTTTAATTTTGAGGGCTTCAACAAAACTTGCTTCTTTATACCAAGTACAGTATTATGGCTGGCAACTATTATATAGTATAATATATAATAGTTTACAATAATTAACAATGAAGAATATAAAGGAGCTTATTGGTACAAAACTTTCTAATGTGAATGGTAAGAGAACATGAAAACTATGATTGCTTGCCAAAATTCATCAAAATAATTCATACAGAGCACATTCTTGTATATCTTACATGAAAAAGCAAACATGTTTTTATATTTGCAATTAGAAAAAGTTTTACGATAGTTATCAACACAAGTACCTGATATTTGTTCAGGTTAAAAGATTTGTAAAAACATACCCTGTGCCGCAAGCAACATCCAGCACTGTAATGCAATTGCGTGCCTTTAGCTGGTCTGTGATGAACTTTCTGTGAAATAGAAATGGTTCAGTTTTTATATAGGTAAGCAGACACATAAGATGATGTCTTGATCAAAGTCATCAAACCATTGAGCATTGCATTATACTCAAGATCTTGATGCTCATTTATAAAGAAATAAATAACAATAATATGATTTTTATCTCATGTTTTCTTTTAGGCAAAAGACTGGCATTTTTGGTGTAGGTATATATTCACATATTTATTAAAAGTTTTTAAAACAGCTTTTGAAATTGAAAAAAGTGAAAGTGTCAAAGTGACAACCAGAATTTAACATATTTTTTAACTGCCATTTTTTCACTTCAAGGAACAATGATACCTAATAATGATTAATCACCGGTGGTAGGCACACTTCCGCTAACCAATAATTAGCAAAGCTAACTTTTTCCTTATCGGATTAGCTTTTCAGCCAACTTTGAAAACCATTAGCAGACCAACTAGCTTTGCTAAATTTAGTTCCGCAGTTCCGCTAACTGACAGTCCGATGAAAATGTTTAAAAATCTCTTCTGATCAAAAAGTCAGGTGTTCATATTTAATGCTAAGGATTGTCAGCCGTGTGCGACACTGATGGCTGATTACATAAACATATGTATGTCAACCACGCACATCTTTTTCTACTGCTACATAATGTAGTATTGTAGCACAAGACATGATTGGTTGATGCAGCGATGAGACTGAGAGGCTGATGTTTGTCAAGGGCAGAGAGGCTGACGTTCATCATGGGCAAAAATCAACACCTTGAGGAGATGAGGAGCAAGCCATAGTAAGAACAGTATGTAACCCTGCTTATAACTAAGAGTTTTTATTTCTCAATGTTTCTCATTTCTTTAATACTTTATTATTTGCTTAATAAACTGTATGTTGAATGTACACTACTGCTAAATTTCATTTGTTCATTTAATTATTTATGTACATCTTGATCATCATCTGATCGTGGCAAGTTGACATGCTACACCTTACTGGATAGCTGCTTGTCAATGGTACAACATATTAAAAGTTTGCCTCTATAGTTCTATTTTTCAGTTTCAAAGCCCCCAAAAATTAAGCCAATGCTAAACTAATTTACTAAAAGTTAGTGGTTAGAGCCTTAGTGGTAAATTCAGCTAAAATTTCTACAATTTATTGGTTAGCTAGCTGTGCCCATCACTGTTAATCTTAATCACATTCACATATCATCAATGCAATTAGGAAAAGAAGTGCTAAGCAATTCAAACTGAAGCACTTGTAACAAAACATATAAGATATTAAAGCCACCTGTAGACAGCTGTGCGTTGGCTCTTGTCCCCAATGTAGAGCTCCCAGAGGTGGGCAGCAGTTCCATCAGAGTACTGATCTTTGAGGCCTGCTGCAGGGATGCCAAGTGACCGGGTACGATTAAAAGATTTGTAAAAACATACCCTGTGCCGCAAGCAACATCCAGCACTGTAATGCAATTGCGTGCCTTTAGCTGGTCTGTGATGAACTTTCTGTGAAATAGAAATGGTTCAGTTTTTATATAGGTAAGCAGACACATAAGATGATGTCTTGATCAAAGTCATCAAACCATTGAGCATTGCATTATACTCAAGATCTTGATGCTCATTTATAAAGAAATAAATAACAATAATATGATTTTTATCTCATGTTTTCTTTTAGGCAAAAGACTGGCATTTTTGGTGTAGGTATATATTCACATATTTATTAAAAGTTTTTAAAACAGCTTTTGAAATTGAAAAAAGTGAAAGTGTCAAAGTGACAACCAGAATTTAACATATTTTTTAACTGCCATTTTTTCACTTCAAGGAACAATGATACCTAATAATGATTAATCACCGGTGGTAGGCACACTTCCGCTAACCAATAATTAGCAAAGCTAACTTTTTCCTTATCGGATTAGCTTTTCAGCCAACTTTGAAAACCATTAGCAGACCAACTAGCTTTGCTAAATTTAGTTCCGCAGTTCCGCTAACTGACAGTCCGATGAAAATGTTTAAAAATCTCTTCTGATCAAAAAGTCAGGTGTTCATATTTAATGCTAAGGATTGTCAGCCGTGTGCGACACTGATGGCTGATTACATAAACATATGTATGTCAACCACGCACATCTTTTTCTACTGCTACATAATGTAGTATTGTAGCACAAGACATGATTGGTTGATGCAGCGATGAGACTGAGAGGCTGATGTTTGTCAAGGGCAGAGAGGCTGACGTTCATCATGGGCAAAAATCAACACCTTGAGGAGATGAGGAGCAAGCCATAGTAAGAACAGTATGTAACCCTGCTTATAACTAAGAGTTTTTATTTCTCAATGTTTCTCATTTCTTTAATACTTTATTATTTGCTTAATAAACTGTATGTTGAATGTACACTACTGCTAAATTTCATTTGTTCATTTAATTATTTATGTACATCTTGATCATCATCTGATCGTGGCAAGTTGACATGCTACACCTTACTGGATAGCTGCTTGTCAATGGTACAACATATTAAAAGTTTGCCTCTATAGTTCTATTTTTCAGTTTCAGAGCCCTCCAAAAATTGAGCCAATGCTAAACTAATTTACTAAAAGTTAGTGGTTAGAGCCTTAGTGGTAAATTCAGCTAAAATTTCTACAATTTATTGGTTAGCTAGCTGTGCCCATCACTGTTAATCTTAATCACATTCACATATCATCAATGCAATTAGGAAAAGAAGTGCTAAGCAATTCAAACTGAAGCACTTGTAACAAAACATATAAGATATTAAAGCCACCTGTAGACAGCTGTGCGTTGGCTCTTGTCCCCAATGTAGAGCTCCCAGAGGTGGGCAGCAGTTCCATCAGAGTACTGATCTTTGAGGCCTGCTGCAGGGATGCCAAGTGACCGGGTACGATAAATGCGGTTGTCGGACATTTCAGGAGACTAGCAGTAGTAGTAGACGTGTTTTCTAATGCTTCAGGAAATTTCAATCTATTTTGCACTGTCCCTGGACTAATGTAGAAAGAATATTGTTTGTAAAAGATCTAAAAAATTACCAATACCTTATACCTAGACCTACCTGAAATTTAAACACAGGACAGAGAAAAATGATTGGCCAGTTTCCCAAAAGCAGAACATGAGCAGTTATGAGCAAAGTGTCTCTGATGTTTTTCTATACCATATATATAAAATTAAGAAAGTTCATCATTTTTAAAAGATATCTAGGCCATTGAAAGGAATTCATTGAGCACCGAGTTAAACCAAAGTCAATATAAATAAGTGAAGTATGGACTATGGAGCCTACATAATGCATTAATGCTGCATTTAGTGCATTATCAATTAACAATTATTAAATCACTGTTCAAAAAGTTGACAATTAGGTATTGGATTAATTTGATTAAAAGTTATGATAAATCACAGATGTAATCATGTAGGTAATCAAATTTTTAATGATTAACTTAAATTAGCTATAAAGACTCTGTAGATAGGTATGAATTATTGAAGTGAAAAAATTAATAAAACGTATTTTGCCCATTTATTCCAATATTTATAAGGTAACCTGGGTGGGTTGCTCAATTTAAAAAAAACTCTGTTTGTTTGCAATCCTGACCTAAATGACCTTGAGCAGAAAAAACAGCTGTTGCTCAACTTGCTCACCTAACCGTCACTGCGGTTTCAACGTTTATTAGACCGTAGGCCTGCCGCCGATTCTTAACATCGCAGAAGATCCACTTTCTTTTTTCTTTAATTGGAATTTATGGGAGCCTCTGAAGACTGGTTCAATGCAGCCCCATGTCAAAACAGTTCAAGGAATTTGACTGAATTTTGTTTTCAGGTACAAAATTGGGTGTCTTGAAAAAAAAATACTCAATATTTCTAAATGGCTGAAAGGCTACAGAACAGGGCCACCAAAGTGGAGACCACACCAGGGTAGAGAGCACCACTCCAGGGCAGAGCTCGAAAGCCCCACTCCAGGGCAGATAGCCCCACTCCAGGGCAGATGGACACTAACCACTACCTGGGGACACTAACCACTCACCTGGGGACACTAGCCACTCACCTGGGGACACTAACGACTAACCACTACCTGGGGACACTAACCACTCACCTGGGCCCTGGGGACACTATCCACTCACGACTCACCTGGAGGCTGGGGACACTAACCACTCACCTGGGGGCACTAAGTTACTAACCACAAACCCGGGGGCACTAACCACACTTGGAGGCATCTTAAAATCTTTGTAACAAATTTTGCAGTTAGATGTCAGGAGCATTTATAGGTGTTCAGGATCAGGAATCAGGAGTTGAACTTCACTTTAGCTGGTCGTACCATTCGCCGGCTCAACGCTAATCAGAGCGAGACAGCACGGTATTTTCAAAGTTCGAGAAAGATAGTTCCAGAAAGATGACGTAGCAGCAGGCCAAAGCCGGCTACTGTCACGAGAGCTCAGCACCTCAGGCCTCAGCACAAAGAACCTCTTACCTCAACAGTTTGCAGAAGATTGGGTACGCAGCCGTGCACCACCAAATTTGTGCACCAATCAGCCTTGAAAGGAACGCCTAGCATATTTCCGGATGAACACCAATCAGCCGCGGTAAAATTTTTTCGCTTGTTGGCAGACGACGCTGGGCCATACGACGCCAGGCTTATTTTCCTGCGGGCTGATTGATCTAATTCAATGGATGTGATCTGTCTGGTGGCGTGCGGCTGATACTGTTGCAGTCAAGAAGTGTTGTAGGCTACGTTTTTCAGGGAAGGGATCATGATAGGCCCTAGTCCATTCGAAGCACTAGCACGGCAGTGGTGGTCTCTGACAGGCGTCCCAGAAGATCCACAGTGTGTTCAACTGTGTTGCGGACTTGAACTCGCAAGTCGTACTAGGTAACTCACTGCTTCCATTTTTTTTTCGTTTAACCGCCCGGCCTCCTTGGCGATTCTGACCAGAAACTGGCTCACAAAGCTGCAATCGAACCCTGACTTCTCTGCTCCAATCTTGGTAGTACTCTGAACTTCTGAAGTTCTGAACTATGACCACAGTGCCACAGCATTGTCTAATTACTCTAATAGTAATACTACTACTTAAAGTTTGACGTAGCTAGTGGACGACATAAGTGACAGCAGTGCAATGACAGCTAATTTTAAGTTGCAACGTTAACTTGCAAAAAGTAATATTAAATAGTCTCAGAGTGTAATTGCAGATTCCATTGAACGTGTGAGAAATTAGAGTTACAAACATATATAAAAAAATTTCTTGAACTAATTCCACCAACCGATACCAACAGTAGCTATCATTTGTAATACGACCCAATTGTGCTTCTTCTGAAGAAAGATTCTATAATAATAATAGCGGTTTCAGCGTTTATTAGGCCATAGCCCTGTCGCCTATTCTTAACATCTCAGAACATCCACATCTTGTTGCGGTCTCGAACTCGCAACTCACTGATTCAAATTCTGCTGTGCTTAACCGCCCGGCCTCCTTGCCGATTCTGACCAGAAACTGTTGTTGTTGTTGTTAGCTTTGTTTGAGATGTGTAGATGACCTCCTGCGGGCCAACTGTCACATCTGGACATGGCAGTGTTGATGGCTTTCTTGGGTCTCTTCCTCAGCAGCAGACAAGTTTCATTGGCTTGCAGGTGGAACAGCAACTACTTCCAAATGGCCTGGATGATGCTCGCTGTTNCTTGTCAATATCTTTGGGGTTCTCCATCTCAATGGCAATCAGATTCTTCCTCAAGTTTACTCTTACATCCTTGATATTGCAAGTAGAATATGGTGGGGTGGCAAGAGCAGAGCAGAGCTTGGCTGGGGAGGTCAGCATCTTGCGGGAAGCAGCATCCGCAGGCCGGATCAGGACAACACTGTTGTCATTTCTGTCTTCTGCAGTTCCATGCATTGTGGATTGTCTTTTGGCTTTATCAATTTTTTCTGGCAATCGATTGTTTCCATTGTTATTACTATTGGTTCTCTCAGTCTCAATGTTAATCAACTTGTTTTTCTGAATAGGGTATATTTCTCTAACTAGATCACTTTCATTGTTAGATTGATGGGTTCTTTTCTGCTGAGTACCAGGGGTCATATCTTCTGTTGCTTTCCTCTTTGGTCTTTCAGAATTCACTTCTTCACACATTTGATCTTCAGTCCAGTCATCACCTGTGTTTACAAAGTGTTCCATTTGAGATTCAGTTAGATTTTCTGCATTACTTTCTAAGCTTCCAGGAGGTCCTGGAGCTTGAAAGCCGTTCTGATTAGGCTTTGGCATATTTAAACCACAGAGATCGTATTTACGTTTTACCAGGAGCTATGTTAACTCGGCCACAGTCAGAGTCCTCCTCGACCAGAAACTGGCTCATAGAGCTGGGATCGAACACGTTACACGTGCCCCTCTGCGCCAATCTTGGTACTCGAACTGTAACCACGAAACCACTTGGGCAATTTGTGATTTCTACGGTAACTGCATAGTGCATAAACACTCACAGAGAAGACCATCTATCATGTCGATGACATGGCTTGCATTTATAGACCACTAATCTACAAAGGAAAATAATTTAATTAAAACACGTTCAAGATTGCTGTTCAACAACCAAGCTTACCTGCCAGTGAGAGCGAAAGTTCTTACCCAATGCGTTTTCTACGCTCTAGGAATAAATGTTAATCGTTAATATATCTCAATAGGAGCTCCCAGAGATAAGATACAATAGGAACAATACTACATTTAATGCATTTCCTATGGTAGAAAACTTAACGTCTAATCTCCAGGCGCTTTTTTATCGTACTTTCAATGTTTCTTCCTGATTGGCAATGATATCATTGTGATACTGCGGCGATAAGGATTCACGAAGATTTATTAGGATACATTCCTACTGCAGCAATGAAGCTGGAAAAAACTTGATCGATCGAGTTACTGATAGTTATTCTGCGTCGTACCATATGCGATGACAGCTTTGTTTAGTCATTTTCCATATTAGAATTAATTTTAGAGGTAAAAATTTCCTCTGTTCCAAATTTTATGGTAATAATTTGAGAATGCTCACCTTATGTAAGTCTAGATTCATCCACCATGGTCCACGGTTTTTGTTAAGTAGTGAAATGTTTGCATAACGAAAACAAACCTTTCATCCTGAATATTGCCCTCGAAAGCCAATAATGTCGATAAAAAATTTAAATGGTTGATTATTTTCCAATCAAGAGTCAAAACCAACAAAAACTATGAACGAGCTTTAATATCAATTAATGTAGTTTCAATTTTAGGAATTTCAGGGAAAGTGTTTTCCGTTTCTTAACTCTACTCTCTTAACCTTCTACCGCCGTGTGTCACTCTCCGAGAACATAACTTGCAAATTAAAATATTATATGTAAAGTATTGAGTGTAGCAACCTGAGGACGTTTGTACGTAACAGAGAAAATTTTAAAATTTTCGTACGTGGCGGCAACCATCAGTGCAAGTCATTTTGCGCTCACTAGAAGTAGAACGTTTAATTTTTGGGAAGTAGGTTTGTGACAATATTGCTCTGGTTACTCGTGTCAGGCGGTACAGGGTTAAATTAAAAAGTTAGTCACCGTATGATGGCAGAGATGGTAGCCTAGTGCAGCAAATTTCTTTAACCAAAAATTCAAGACAAATATAACGTAAGACAGATATGCAAATGATAAATAAATATTCACGAAAATTTCCATTGGAAAATAGACATTAACGGCAAAGACAAGCCACCATCAACATCGTTTACTTTGTGTCACGGAATTTGGCGAGAAAAAGAACTCGGTGAGATATGTTTCATGTCATAGCATGATGACAGATTGACAGTACAACTGTACAAATGTTTCCTCAAATTCAAAGGATAACAAATTAATGAAATAAATTATAATTCATTTGATGCTTCTACGTTTTTCTCACATGGTGCTCTGACCATATTGTGGGGGCTAGCTGTGTTAGTTTATTATTAGTTCACGTGACCTGATTGATGTTGGTGGCCACGGGACGAACTGGGAGACAAGGAAAAGTAGTGATGATGAGGTGTCAGGAGCACGTGGCAACGACGAGATGCACGTGGCGTGAAGAGGTGCAGGTGGCGTGATGAGGTGCACGTGGCGTGATGAGGTGCACGTGGCGTGAAGAGGTGCACGTGGCGTGATGAGGTGCACGTGGCGTGCTGAGGTGCACGTGGCGTGATGAGGTGCACGTAGCGTGATGAGGTGCACGTGACGTGATGAGGTGCACGTGGCGTGATGAGGTGCACGTGGCGTGTTGAGATGCACGTGACGTGATGCATGTGGCGTGGTGAGAATCACGTGGAGTTGTAAGAGGCATGTGTTGATGTTGGTGACGTTACAATGTGTGCTTGTGAGGTGCTGACGTGATGTTGCACGATGTTACCGGATCAGCTGCTGGAATAGAAATGAGCTCTGAGTGGGCACTGGGCACGGGCAGAAGTGAGGCTAGTGAGCTATGAGAAGCCTTCCGGAAATGAATGTTGCTAACGGTAGCAGTGATTCGCTAGCATGAATTCTCTCTAATTTTTTTAAAACTATTTTCTTAAATATAAAAGTGGTTATGTAGCGAGATCCGCTACATCGCAGACTTCGTCATCGAGTGTGTGTCGCGATGTCGTTGGGCGGCAGTATTCGTTCCTCACGTTCGTAACATTACGCGTTCCCTACTTTGATTTAGAAAATTTACTTACTAATATATCTCTTTCTGAAACCATTTATATCTGCCTCAATTCATTGTTTAAAGATGTCAGTGATCTTCTCATGGGTTTTAGCCGCAATTTTTCTAAACTTCTCGTTGAATTATCTGTGCGAACCTTAATTTTCGTATTTGCTAGCAAGTTTGACTGACAAATTGACGGTTTGGGCATGGGGGCTTCCACTTGGTTCTACATTTGCCAGTATTTTCATGTTTTCACGAAGCTATTTGGTTGGTCAATAATTGTCCTCTTGATTTTAAACCAATTTTCTATAACCGATATGTTGATGATACTTTTTCGAATTTTAAGCATTCCTCTCATGACTCACGTGGGCCTTTTGTTTGAATATCTCAATCTCCAATATAAGTCTATCAAATTCACAATGGAGCTTGAATCAAACAATAGTTTGTCTTTCATTGATTGCAAAGTTACCACATCTAATGGCCATTTCCAAACTTCGGTTTTCAAAAAATCGACATTTACCGGCTCAAGCACCAGCTTTTTTAGCTTTTGTTCATTTCGTTTTAAAATAAATGGGATCCAAACATTGATAAACTGCGGCTTTCGCATTTGCTCTGCTTTCCTAGCCATGCACTCTGAATCTCTGAATTTGAATTTTTTGCAGTATCTCTTCACAAAATTGCTTTCCATTGCACCTCGTGGTTACCCAAATTAAAAAGTTTATGTGCAAGCAATATAATGAAGTTGTTCCCAAGAGTGACTATAGGAACGTTGTTTACTGTTCTTTTCCCTACTTTGGCCCTGCATCTGACAATAATCACAATATGTCACAGGAATTAAAAGTCTTAAAAAGTTCGCTAAATACCTTTCGGATGTAAATCTTCATGTGTTGTTGGTTAACAATTTTATAATCGGTTCGTTTTTCAGGTATAAGGATACCCTCCCTGTTCTTACGCGATCGTCACTAGTTTACGCATATTGTTGTGCGCAGTGCGCATCAGCGTACGCCGGTATGACGGCACACAATTTCTATACTAGACTGGCTGAGCATAAAGGCAGGAGTTATAGAACGGGGAACCTACTTGCACATCCTCCTAATTCTGTTGTACGTGTTCATGCCAAGCAGTGAAACACCTCTATCTGATAGTGATTTTAAAGTTCTATAGCTTCCACATCCGGTGTTACTGATCTACGAATTTTAGAATCCCGGTGTATATTTAAACAGAAGCCTAGTCTGAATGCCGCTTTTAGCTCCTTTCCTCTTGAAATAGCAAATAGATAGGCCCGTTTATTGGCGTTCATTTCATGTCTCATTTGCTCGTTTCTGTTTTAATACCGGACAGTAGATTTTACTTTCCTTATTGATTGTATTTGTGTTTCTAGGACTAAACTTCTTCTGAACTGAACTTTGTGTTATGTACTGACGATGGAGATGTTTCCGAAACGCTTTCTCTTATAAAGATATGGTGAATTTTTGTGCTATTGTATTGCTTTTAAATTCCTGGTTAATTTGCGATTTAAGCAAACAGGTTTTCTTAATAAGTATGTAGGTACTTTGTGTAGAGCTCTTCAAGACTTTTACGATAATTACTAAAATGATTAATCAGATAGAAGGAATTTCAAAATAATAAATTAACACAGGTGTCGTTAATAAGCCTTATGAATCGCTAAAATATAATTATTTACTCAGGGTTAGTACCGGTACTTAGGAAAAAAATTCCATGACTTTTACATGACTCTCCATGACCATCACTATAATTTTCCATGATTCGTATACGACAGGTATAGCATGACTGAAAGACTAACCGTGCATATTCTATCATCTCCTACAGTTGATGAATAGCAAAGTTGTAAATGCATAGGGCAGGGAGACACTGAGTAACAGAAATGACACAAATATAAGAATCAAGCCCACACTTTTATTATTATGAATTCAATAGTGTCAAATCACAACAAATATTGAGTAATGCACACATGATAATTTTACATGATAATGTCTGGTCAATACAGTTCAGAACACTCTTCAACACCACTACCCTAACATTCAACTGGTAGCTATTTCATAAACTTTTTCTTTAATGTCTAGATCCTGTTGATTTGTTTGCAAAGATCGCCTCATGGCGTTAAACTTTGGGATAATTTTCAAATCCCGCTTTCTCGGTATTATCTTAACATTATTCGGTGAATAGGGTATTTAAAATATTATCGATGAATTTGAACACGATCATACGCTCGTATAATGAGGCTGTGAAATTCCTGCTCTACATCTAATGTCATTTCCCTAGGCATAACTGAAACAATTGACAATATCCTAGCGGGCAGGTTTCTCTATAAGATGGATATAAAAGACAGGACTAGGAATGTGCCCAAGAGGCTGAAAGTCCCCGTAGACGCTGTGTTGAGCCTCGGGCCCAAAGGTCTCCTTCAGCAGCGAAGTAAAGGAGTCCAGACGGTGAGGGAAGCACGAGAGACGGAACTTGCTGCACAAGAAAGGACGGTTTGAATATGGTATCAACTGAATGCACTCTTCGTTCAAATTGTGCAATTATGGTGGTCCTGGAATGTGTTTAATGCAATGAAACTCAAAAATAACTTTTTTCAACATTGTTACATATATTTTACTACAATTGAAGAAACAATGTAAAGAAGATTCTACCTACAAATTAGGAATTACATCTTGATACAAATCAACTTTAAAAATGCATCTGGGTTTCCCCAGATTTTTCATTCAAACTGAGACTTTTCCACATACTTTTGCGTAACTTTCTGAAGCCTGCCACGCTTGGCCCGCTCAGAGTCGGTGTCGTCTCTGAGATCTTTGTCACCGTCGAGTTTTATGACGTAGTCTAGCGTCACCAGCACAGGCGTTCCCTCCGTCACCACCACTGATGTGATGATCGACTCCAAGTGCTCACCCTGAAAAACACGACCATCATATAAAATTTCCTACTTTCAATCACAGGCAGGCATTCGCAAAAGCATCACTTGTCGCTCCTATTGACTCGACAATTAACTTCAAGGGTGCGTTCCATACCATTGGTAGGGCTTCTAAGTTGTGGCTATTATTATCTGTATTAGCACTGTAATTATACCTGGCTAATATTAGACGCATCTCCTCAATAGTTATTTGGTGTTTGCCTCACAAATTACTACACTGTATGTCGAGACATTCAGCCTGAGCAAGCCCAAGCTATAAGCGATGCCGACAGAGCAAAACATATTAACAGCCCGGGCAGCTAAGCAAGTACCAAAACCGCTCGGGCGGCTACGGAAGTCTCAACAACAGCCCAGGCGACCAAAAAAGTCCCAATAACAGCCCATCAAATAAACAAGTCCGAACAACAGCCCGGGCGGCTATGGAAGTCTCAACAACAGCCCAGGCGACTAAACAAGTCCCAACAACAGCCCGGGCGACTAAACAAGTCCCGACAACAGCCGGGGCGACTAGAAAAGTCCCGACAACAGCCAGGGCGGCTAAATGACTAAACAAGTCCCAACAACAGCCGGGGCGACTAGACAAGTCCCGACAACAGCCGGGGCGACTTAACAAGTCCCAACAACAGCCCGGGCGACTAGACAAGTCCCGACAACAGCCCGGCCGCCGTACGTTGTAGTAGATGTTGTGAGTGGGCGATGTTCCGCGCTCGAGGATGTCGTCGTAGTTCTTGTGGTCGATGAGCAGCACACCCCCAGGCTTCACCATCGCGCAGAAGTTGCTCAATGCCAACCTGAGACCAGAAAACATTAAATCTCCAAAAATTGGACCGTAATAATCCAACTTAGTTTGAAGCTTTATAGTTTTTTAATTGAAAATTCGGGAATCGCAAGTTTGAACACTGTAGGTTTACAAGTTAGTTTACTATTTGAAAGATTCTGGGTGACCTTTCAAAAAGTATAGTTATAGAATTTAAAGTTACCCGTACAAATTTAGTAATTATTGTGCATTCAAGCTGGAAGTGACAATATCAGAATTTTAAAGTGTAATTTAGTGCAGAATTATTATACTTCGGAAATGGCCTTGCTACAGAAGCGTACGTACTCGCGTCGTCGTTGCTAAATTGAAATTGCGGCTCAATTGTAAAATTTGATATGTGACGTGTGGACAGGATCGTCATTTTTTTATCCAGAAGAGAATTGCAATTTAAGTAGAGAAGCGTTTTCGTAATTCACCAGAGAAAAATCTAATAATTTTGCTCGTAGTTCTTGTAAAATATGTGTAGAGGAGGAGGAGGCAGCACCTCTGGTTAGCGAAGTCGAGTTCCTTATTAGGCAGATGGGCGAAGGAGTTGCCGAGGCAGATGACTGCGTCGAACTGCTCCTCTCCGTATATGTCTTCCGTGAGCGTCATCCAGTTAGCCTCCTCGATTTCTGAAAATTTATTGGTAGTAATAATTAATAATTCATTCCCATTAATTATAACAATTGCCAAATATGGTGAACAATTCATTCTAAATTGTATATAACTATAAAAACAGGTCCTACAAATTTTACTTTTTCATGGACGAGTGTTCCTTCATGTAGTCAAACTTGAAATAATAATAGAATTTATGCGACGGATAAATTTGTCGACATGAGATGAAAACAAGAAAACACCACACCAGAACTTCGGTAGAAAGCCGTCGCAAAGTTCCACTTACAATTTTCATCATCATGGTGATTATACCAAAGCTACACAACAGACCAAGCAAGTTCTTGTTCTTATCATAGTCTTATAGTCAAAATTATAATAGTCTTGTCTTTCAGTCAAGGTAACTTGAGACTGAAAAAATCAACGGCAAATCCAGTATCGCATAAACAAGTAGTACATGGGTAAGCCACACACCCCAGGCATCAAAGGCAGGTTCCTTCCTGCGTTTCCAGCGCGTCTTGAGCGCATACTTGAGCATCTTGTCGGAGAGGTCGACGCTCGTCAGCCTGAAGCCTTCCTCCAGCAGCATCACTGAGTCAATCCTGCAATGTCATCATCATAAGGTCAATGATTAGTTACACTTATAATATCAATGTAGATTGATTGGCCCGAATGAACAGTAATTAAAAATCCTAATTTCGGTAATAAATTATGCATGAGATTTCATGACTAAATTAACTGTATATGTACGTCGAGTTTATTTTCCATGAGCTAACGCGCAGTTAACAGATGAGTCATTTGTTTACATCCTTGTTCGTAATTGTCTCAGTCATTGTTGACAGGGAAAAACTAATTACAATCAAGATCTATCTTGATCATGGACACCAATAAAATCAAGATACTTATCACGTTTTTATTCATGTCAGCGGTCTGAGACAGATTGAGGAAACTAGGTCTATAGTTGAAGGTACATTTATGATACGATAAATAACTTACATAGACAATTCTAGGGAGGTCTGCCTCAATGCATTAAGCCATCAACGAGAAGTTATCATGAACTTGTGTGCAAGTTTTACTGGGTGGTGCAGCAAGCTTAGCGCGTACGACGCTATTTGGCAGATACGAAAGTGACATCTGATAGCGCCGAGAAGCCGTATGACATGCGCGCATGACTAGAGGGGACTGGGAAGTTTTCCTCAGTACAGTACTGAATTAGCTGTATTTATTAGCGAGGTAAGAACAGATTAGGTAAAATCAGTTCAACGAATAGAAACCTACACCTAAAAATTCATCACCAGTCTTCAGAGATCGCTGATATTGACAACCCCTATGAGAAACAATCAAAGAGAATTACACTACATCAATAATTTCGTAAAAGCGGAAACCGCATGAAAATAATATTAGAAGTATAAGACCCACAAAAGATGATTTAAGAAATTCCAACTGTCGATGTTTAATGCAAAAAAATTTTAATTTCATGGGACGAATCACGAGGCATTTTGTACTAAACAGGGCGAAGAGTAATCAAAGAAAATATTTCAATTTGTTATTTTCATTAAATAGATTTGATTCTCTTATAGAAATAACAAAATTCGAATCTCCTTCAAACTATGGGATTGCTGCGAAACATGAATTTGATTTTGAATATTTTAGAAACAGGTATTACTCTTATTGTTACTTTAATTTCAAAAAATATTGACGAAATTCTCGATACGGTATAACACGTTTCTCGTAATTTAGATCTAAGAGATTTCCTGTCTAACGGTCATCTGTCCATATAACGAGCTCGTGAAATATCAGTCCTGAGCAATGCCATGCTATGCCCGTATGCCGCATGTACATTATGTAGTATGAACTAGCATAGTTATATCATATGCGGTTGACGAGTGGACACAAACCTGTACTGTTGAAATTAGGCATAAGGCTTTGATGTAAGTTTTGTTGAAGACCATACAATAATTCTTATTTCACAATTCTGTTATTATTTGTTCAAATTTTGCGAACTTTTTTTATCGGTTGGTGGCTAGATTTGAAAGTTCGGCTACAAGGTTTCCAGGAGATATTTTATTGTAATAGAATGGTCTCCCTTGCCACCTACAGTCCGTATAGGATCAATGGACCACATGAGGGAGGCTAACAACGATATACGGTCACTCGCGCTACGGCATTGTCATGCGGTTTCTGACAGAGAACAGGCTGGTGGGCGCATTTGTCGCCACTAGTCTTAACCCCAATTATATAAAAAAATTGTCATGCGGTGCCACAACGCTACACGCCTGGCTTGAGTAATTACTCATTTATGAGCAGCAATAGCAGCTTGATCGAACGAGTTCGGAGTTACAGATAGTTATTCTGCGTCGAACCATATGTGAAGTCATTTTTAGCGCATTTTCTCATTTATGGAAAAAATGCACTATTGTGCTCGCCATGTCCGTCTGTCCGTCCGTCCTTCTGCCCGTCTGTCTGTCCGTCCGTGACTTCATGTTTTCGTCGACGAGAAAATTCGCTCTCTGTCACTCACTGCAGTGAGTACTGAGTTACAATTTTTGTCCTTTACCTTTTTAGAATTGGTTTTAGAGTTAAAATTTTCCTTCTTTCCAAATTGTAGGGTAGAATGTAAAATTGTCAGAGACGTCAGGAGGTCCTTATCATCGATAAGGAGGTCTTTCTCATCGACAATTAATCTAAAACCATTTATTTTGGTATGGTTAAGCAGAAGGTGTTCCTTCGATTTAACTGCAACTTTGTTGCAGAAGTTGTCTACAAGTTTATTAATGACCAGAAAATTCTTTTATTAATAATTTTTTTGTTTATTATTTTTTTTAAATGAGTTGGACGACGTTCCTTGCTAGCATGGGCAGATCAAGAAGCAGGTCACCACAAAACATTTTAATGAATCACATGACGTATCAAATACAGCACAATTTTCATTATCAAGTGTAAATCAATAAATTTTTTACAACACTAAAAAAACAAATTTTGAAATGACCTAAGTACAATCAAACGACATAGTGTAATCGATTGGAAAATAAAAAAAATTTTTTTATAGGCCTACCACTAGATTTGCCCATATATTGAAATTACTTTCAGAATATTTTATATTAATTTTTAGTTTTACCAATGATACTCAATTGCTAAGTAATAATAACTTGAGGGCTTCTATAAAACTTGCTTAGAAAAGATTTATGCCAAGTATTATGGCTGGCAAGACCGTGTTACCTATATATAATATCAAACCTTATAATATAAATAATTTGCTAAATATAATACATAATAATTTACTATGAATAACATTGAAGAATGTTAATAATAGTAAAGGAGCTTATTGGCACAAAACATTACTTTATCGTTTTTATAAAGGAGCTTATTGATACAAAACATTACTAAAGTGAATGGTGAGAGAACATGAAATCTATTATTTGGTTGCCCAAAATTCATCAAAATAATTCATGCAGAGCACATTCTTGTATATCTTACATGAAAAAGCAAACAAGTTTTTACATTTGCAATTAGAAAAAGTTTAACAATAGGTATCAACACAAGAACTTGATATTTGTTCAGGTTAAAAAGATTTGTAAAAACATACCCTGTGCCGCAAGCAACATCCAGCACTGTAATGCAATTGCGTGCCTTTAGCTGGTCTGTGATGAACTTTCTGTGATATAGAAATGGTTCAGTTTTTAGATAGGTAAGCAGACACATAAGATTATGTCTTGATCAAACCATTGAGCATTGCATTATACTCAAGATCTTGATGCTCATTTATAAAGAAATAAAATAATATAATTTTTTATCTCATGTTTTCTTTTAGGCAAAAGACTCTGGCATTTTAGGTGTATATATTCACATATTTATTAAAAGTTTTAAAAACAGCTTTTCAAATTGAAAAAAGTAAAAGTGACAACCAGAAATCAACATATTTTTTGTTTGCCATTTCTTTCTTATTTCTTATTTCTTTGTGAGAATGAAAGACTGCAGTTTTGGTGTGAATATTCACGTATTTATGAGAAGTTTTAAAAACAGCAAACAGCTTCTCAAAATTAAGAAACAAGAAAGTGAAGGCCAGAAATTAATATTTTTTGTTTGTCATTTTTTCACTTCCAGGAACAATGATAGATAATAATGATTAATCACAAATCCTCAACACAGTTGAGATGAGAAGTGTTCAAACTGTAGCATTTTTAACAAAACATATAAGATATTAAAGCCACCTGTAGACAGCTGTGCGTTGGCTCTTGTCCCCAATGTAGAGCTCCCAGAGGTGGGCAGCAGTTCCATCAGAGTACTGATCTTTGAGGCCTGCTGCAGGGATGCCAAGTGACCGGGTACGATAAATGCGGTTGTCGGACATTTCAGGAGACTAGTAGTAGGCCTGTTTTCTAGCCTTTCAGGAAATTTATAGCTGTTTTGCACCGTCCCTCGACTAACATAGAGAGAATATTCTTTGAAAAGATCTAAAACATTACCAATAACTTTCATCTGAAATTTGAAAACAGGATAGAAAAAAGTGATAGCCAGTTCCTAAAAAACAGAACATGAAGAAAGTAAACCTAATGTTTTTCTATAGTATATGATATAATATACTTTTAAGCAGGTTTCATTGAAGACCAGCGAATTCGTTTTATTGACAATTTTCTTATTACCTAGTTCCTTCAATAGATCGAACAAGATTTAGCGTTTGCACAGGTAAATTGAAAATCAGATTACCGAAGGACATTTTTATTTCTTTGACGACGTTTCGAATGTTTCTATCATTCATTATCAAGTTAAAAGGCGCCTTGAGTGATGGATGGAATTTGGGTCGACATAAGTACAAAATCAAGTAAATGGGATACTACTCAAAAATCAAAATTGTTAGGAATAATTACAAAATCACAAAAATAATTAAGAATTAAAGCACCGAAAATTACTCCGAAAACAGTCTCAAGGTTCTGACAAATCCAGTAGTTTGAAGGTCGTTTGCTGGGGTCCTATCCTTAATGATGAGGGCCTCAGCTATCGCGAGTCGGTTGGCGTCGGGGCATCTCACGACGACGCTGGTGCATTCTTCAAGCACCGTACGAGTGATGGTCTCGTCGTGGGCCTCCATCAGGTGGTTCCTTGGTCCGCCAGACAGAAGGTGGCACGTGAGACGTCGGCTTAATGTTGTAGTTGTGAGCCCGATGTAGTCCATATTGGGGAGAAGTCTACAACCTTCTCTATTGCAAGAAAATTTATAGACTACATTGGTCTCTTGGGAAACTCACGTTTTTTTGCAGGGTTACTTATTGTTCATTACAAGATTCTGTATTTTCTTGTTTTTGAAATAAATCAGTAGTTTAATTTTATTATTAGTTACGTTCACGATGTTGTTGTGAACGATAGAATGAAGGATCCGTTCATCTGCTTTATAACCGCTGGTCATTTGGTTCTCATAGTAGATGGTNGTTTTATGCGAGGCCGGAGGTGGGCAAAGCCAAGTGGTCGCAGGCTGTTGCGCGCAAGTTCCAATTCGAGCGGTGGCCAGGGTATGAAGTGATGCTTCTACGCAACGTTCAGTGGTGGACGGCCATTCGACCGTAGGCTATTCGACCTCGTGCCTGGGGGGTGTGGAGCTCAAAATATTCAAAGCAGAAGGATGTCAATGATCGGTTACGGATAGCAGATTCCATTCACGGCTGATTGGTGGATGTCCGGAAAGATCCAAGGCGTTCGATTCAGGGCTTATTGGTGTACAAAATTTGTGGTGCACGGCTGCGCTCCCTGTGGGAGGACGAAAATGAAAAGGAACTTCTAAATCTCGGAATTAATTGTCGTGTGATATCAAAATTTAACAAAACCAAGAAGAAGATAGAATTGGAATTTTTGTATGAATCTTTATTGAAATTAAAAAATGAAAACAAAATTGATATTAATCCTAACTTGAAAGATCAACTAAGAATACACGTCCAAGATTACCGGATCGACACTTTAGCGAACTCGCCTGCGAACTGGCCTGCGCACTGGAATGCAAAACCTAACTTGACGTTCAACTCAACAAGCAATAAATCCAACAATAATGAACGGATTTTATTCAAATTTGAAAAATGGGTAGATAATATCAATAATTTGTGAACGGAATTATTTCAGATTTTTTACATCAATTACTTTTTATTAATACGTACGGAAAACCTAACTTCATTTTCAACTCAACCAGCCATAAATCCATCAATAATGAACGGATTTCATTCAAATTTAAAAATTAAGTAAATATTATCAATAATTTGTGGACGAATTTATTTCAGATTTTTACATCAATTATTTTTTTTAAATGCCACAAAATACTGAAACTTGACCTGACTTGGACCTAACCTGCGAGGTGAACGTGAAGTTAGGTTTTCCGTATTAATAAAAAAGTAATTGATGTAAAAATATGAAATAATTCCGCCCAAAAATTACTGATATTATCTACTTTTTCAAATTTAATTAAAATCCGTTCATAATTGATGGATTTATGGCTGGTTGAGTTGAAAATGAAGTTAGGTTTTCCGTATTAATAAAAAAGTAATTGATGTAAAAATGTGAAATAATTCCGTCCACAAATTACTGATATTATCTACTTATTTTTCAAATTTGAATAAAATCCGTTCATTATTAATGGATTTATGGCTGTTGAGTTGAACGTCAAGTTAGGTTTTGCATTCGAGTGCGCAGGCTAGTTCGCACGCGAGCTCGCTGAAGTGTCGATTCGGTTCCAAGATTGCTATCCAACAACCAAGCTTACCTGCCAGTGAGAGCAAATTTTTGAACCCAACACGTTTATATGCGCCCCATGAATAAGTATTAATCGTTAGGATATCTCAATTAGAGCTCCTATAGAGATTAGATTACATACTATGGGACAATCAACGCATTTCTAGAGGCAGAAAACTTAACGTCTAATCTCCATGCGCTTTTTAATCGTGCTGTCAATGTTTTTCCTTGAATAACGATGATATAACTGATCTCTGTGATGATAATGCGGCGATAATAATTCACGATAAATTATTAGGAAACCTTCCTATTGTCCAAAACGTCAACTTATGTAATCATCCACCATGATCCACTATTATTACTTAGCAACTACCAATAGTGAAATGTTTGTAATACCTACGAAAACCACATTTCATTCTTTAAATTGCATTCGTAATGGACCATGAAAAGTTAACAATTTCAAATAAAAAAAGTGTAAAGTGGGTGGCAATTTTCAAATAAAGAGTAAAAAACAACGGAAACTATGAATGAGCTTTAATACCAATTACTAAAATGGATTCAGTTTTAGGAATTTCAGGGAAAGTGTTTCCCGTTGCTGCAACTGCTGCGCCAGACATGACTTACTTTAAATTAAACTGCTAGTCACCGTATGATCGTAGAGGAGGTTGTGCAGAAATTTTTGTTGACCAAAAATTCTAGACAAAGAAGACGTATGACATATAAAATTATAAATATACATTAAAATTTCTATTGGGAAATGGACATTAGCGGCAGAGGCAAGACACCGTCAACATTCTTTACTTTGTGCCATGAAATTTGGCAGGAAAAAGAACTCGGTAAGATATGTTTCATGTCATGGCGTGATGGCAGTACAAATGTTTCCTCAAATTCTAAGAATAACAAATGAATGAATATAGTTCATTTAATGGGTCTTTACGTTTTTCTCGCATGGTGCTTTGATCAAATCCTCAACATAAATGCATTGACAGAGTGCCATTTTACTAAGCAGTTTGAGAGTCATACAAGTAGGTATTTTTAATGTTTATTGCACCGATATAAACTATTTTTTAAAGAATTCTATGTTGACGCTCCGAGTATAAACGTGTTCAAGAACAGACAAGATAATTTATTTAGAAATACATGGTCAGACTTGAAATACCTAGCGCCATATCGAACCCGGTGGGAGTTTACCTAGTAGCCACTAGCTAGTACCTAGTAGCTATTTCAAGTTTCAACTATCCTCAGGCTCAGAGGCTCAGTTTGGAAAAGATCCGTTCGAAGGACCTGTTTTTAGATCTCCTGTGGACACGTCACGAAAAGTACAAGAATCGGCGACAGGCTACATTAGGTCTACTCTTCAGCGTCGCCATCACTATGTTATGTTAGGTTAATAATAAACAATTTTTCTTCACTAACCAAAATTTGTCAGATTTCCTACTTGAGGCTTGGCTGCAGCAGTTGCAAGAAGAAAACGAACGACTGAAGAAAGCAGGGCAGACTTCGTCATCGAGTGTGTGTCGCGATGTCGTTGGTCGGCTGTATTCGTTCCTCACGTACGTTGTGCGTGCCGCTAACCTGCCTCAGGCACTTGTATACAAGTCCATCGATCTCTACTGCAGGTAATAGACAACTTCATTGTGACATCAAAATGTCAATTTAGGAAAAGCTTTGGGGCTTGTGATGTAAAATTGTATATTGTGTCTCATTAATTAACGTGCACGATGTAAAAATTGATCGTAGTTCACACACTAAAAAAATTGAATTTCAAGTCTAAAATCATGCAAGTTCACTCATATCTTGATGTAATCAAGTTTTAGGTCAAGCCTCATTTTGAGAATTCTATGAACTAGTCTAAGCACACTTGTGTGAATTGTGCACTGCAATGTTCTTTGCTGAATGCTCCTGTGGCTTTGATTTCCCATTCTTACCTATAAATGTACATTGTGGCTCTCCATATTGGAAATAAATTAGGTTTAATTTCTCAACGGTTAAGACCAATTAAGTTTATCGTTTGAGCATGAATTTTATAAATAGAATTACGTCTGTTGACTAGCAAAATTACTTTTGGAGGTAATAATTTTTTTTGTAACGTTGTGACAGTATGAAAATCTACGGACATATTTTTCATATTTCAGTTAGACAAGTTTACTAGAATAACCGTGCCGGTATATCAGTTCGACATGTATCGCCTGAATACTTCATAACATTAATATTTTAACTCTTAGTACAATGAATGGACCTATTTTATTTATGCACGGTGCAGGTTCATAGTTAAGCACATCGAAGTCATGACTGAGTACGTGGAAGAGAACGCAGGACATCAATCATCTGATATAAAAACCAAATCTTCCTCGAAAGGCAAGACATCGACGCGGAAGAGAAGCCTCAGCAGAAAAGGTTGGTAACATTGAACATTATCGGTAGTCGTCTGCAGTTATTCTTAAAAGCTATTATTTCACGAAGGATTAAATGTAATTAATCAATTTCCCTGCCGCTCGCCTACTATCGTGAAAGAGACTCGCGTTAAATTTGTTGAATTCGGCTCATTTTGTCGGTGATGGCCCCGTAATATAACATCCAACATTTTTTGATCACAATAGCTGTAATAGTTTTCTTTTCTAATTGGGTTTCGAAACATTGATTATCTGTGCTAATGGCGTTTATGCCGAGCATTAAAAATATTTTATCCTCATTGCTTCTTAAGAGTCCATGGGCCCCAATCATAGATAACCTAAGTGCTTATGATTCGGGGATAGCGATATTGCAAATCATCACGAGGGCTTTGACCAGATTCAGGCCAAAAATTCACGAGGAAAATTATAATTATGTATGAATTATGTAAGTATATGAATTATAGACATTTGGCTGAAACAGGAACAATTAGTCATCCTTTGATTAATTATTATTGTCGAAAGGACCAACGGTAGTTGAATTAAGTTTTGAAAACATGTAATATTAAACGTACTTTATTTATTAATGGAGGAATAACATGTTGCAATACTTTATATATGCTTGGTCTGAAAAGCAATTTTCAACTGATAACATTGTCGTGGGAAAATTAACTCAAATTTATGCTTTCTACTTAAACCTCATTTAATCATCAGATGTCCGTTACATATAATCCTACAGATGAATTATTTCGCCAAAATAAGAAAAATCACTGTTCTCATCGACCTTTCATATCCTGACTACTAGAGATAAATATTCTGAAAATACCAGCCAACTTGTTTCAAGTGTCACTTTCGGCGTGCGATTGCTGATGGCATTCACGAGGTAATCTTAAGTGTGTGATTGGCTGATTGCCGATTACATTTGGGGAGGTCATCTTCAGTGAGGGATTGCTGATTGTGCTTGGAAGCGTTTACCACATTTGCATGGCCTGCTTGCTGCATTAATACCGTTATAAGTATAATTTTTGGCGTCAATGAGAGTCAAGTATTGATATTTCAGTATGGAAGTTACATATTATTCAGGAAGAAATATTCTATTCTTATTTGTTAAAAAGATGTCTCGGGTCATAAACTGCATTTTAAACTGCTGGTATAATCGTTGAAGTAATTAATAGAAAGATATTATTGATAAAAATAAATGATCATTAACAGCATCACAATCATGTCAAGCACTATCGTGTTTCACTTCGAGACCGAGTCATTATCTTCAGTGCTGGACATGTTCAGATGAACAAAAATTCTGGGTATCATACAGTGCCGGAAATGGCTATACGACCACCCAGTTTTCTCCAAATATTTGTTATTGCACAAGAAATATGAGATTCTAATTACACGTAGTTAAACTACGTTTAAAAACGGTTCCAACGCTATGCGAAAAAAAAAATAATTTTCTCAAAATATATGAGTAGAAATGTTGAAAATCAGAAAAACCTAGGTGGAAATGGACCAAGATATGTTTTTTCCGTTTGTGGATCACATACACTCGTTTTAATAGGCAATCTCATCTCCTTTCGCCATAATTGCCTCAATGCATCTTCTCCCCACGCTATTAACCATATTACCCAGTGTCTTTTGAGAAATATTATCCCAAGAACGAAGGATAGCCGTGCTCAGGTCACTCACAGATTGGAACTGGCGCTCATTTTGGTAAACATCTCTCGCCATGATGCCGCATAAGTTTTCAATGGGGTTGAGGTCAGGACTAAGCGCCGGTCACGGCAACAGGTTAATATTCTGCTCTAGGAACCACTTGTTTGCTGATTTTGAGGTGAATCGAAGCATTGTCATGTTGAAAATGATCCCTCATGTTTCTCATCGGCAAAAGGGAGAAGCTGGTAAAACAGCGTGTGCTTGTAAGCCACGGAATCTTGTCTCCCATGTAAAATAGCTAGAGTTGATTTTCCCTTTCGGCTAACGCCCTCCAAAACATGACCGAACCACCACAAGATTGCCGCTTGAAAAAAAATTCAGGCTCACGGTCCAGTACACGGTGCCAATAGCATTGCCATTTATCTGGACCATAAAGATTGAACTTTTTACTTCACTGAAGATAATCTTGTGCCGTCCCTTACCAATAACAAATTTTTTTCAGCAAATTTTTGTCGGTTGATAATATGCTTTTGTTGGAGCACAAGGGCATTTTTCATCTTCATGTATTTGAATTTCTTCGAGTCATGCAATATCTAACGGATGTGTCGTGCTGTCACATCAACTCCAGTGGCCAATTTTATAGCGGTAGAGGTAGCGCAAGTTTTAGAAGCCTCAGAAAACAGTCTCCTAAGATCCCTGTCGGTTAATTTTGGGGTTGGTCCAGTGTGCTTTTTTCACCCGTAGCCGTCTGGATTAGCAAAAAATGTTTGTGCAATGGGCTTTGAGCGTTTTATTCCCATTGCGATGTCCCGTTGGCTTCTACTGCATTTCACGAAGCCGAAAATCTGCGCCTTCTCGGCCTCAGTGAGTCGTGTCCTATTTGGCATATTTTCACTTCAAAAATATAAGTGAGGACACTGAACTACACCAGAAGTACACTAGAAAGGCCTTAAATGACGAAAATCAAGATATTCTTTATATTGCTGTGCTTTTTAAAGTGAAAATATTACATAAAGATACCAAAATGGAGAAAAACATATGGTCATGGTCATATGGGCCAAACTTGGTCATAACCATTTCCACCAAGGTTTTTATAATTTTCATAATATCTTCTCATATACATGTATTTTGACAAAATTATTTTTTTAGCATATCCTCGGAAACGTTTTTAAACGTTGTTTAACCTCGTATAATTAGAATCCCATATTTTTTTATGCAAGAAAAAATATTTGGAGAGAACTGGGTGGTCGTATATCCATTTCCGGCACTGTACATACAGTGGCAGAAATGGCTAAACGACCATCCGTTTTTTCTGAATATTTTTCTTGCGTTAAAAAATACTAGATTCCAATTATACAAGGCTAAATATACGTTGGAAAACGGTTCCAACGCTATAAGAAACAAATAATTTTTCAAAATATATGAGAAGAAATGATGAAATTCAAAAAAACCTAGGTGAAAATGGTTATAAGACCATGATGGTTTTTCTTCATTTTACTATCTTTCTATTACTATTATATTTTCTCGTTAAAAAGTACAGCAACATGAAGAATATCCTGATTTTCGCCATGCATTTAGGGTACTTCTGGTGCAGTTCAGTATCCTCATTTATATTTTTTAAGTAAAAAAGATATGATGTAATAAATATTTCAGTAAAAAAGATGCCAAAGCGGACAAGACTCACAGTGGCCGAAAAGGCGCAGATTTTGGCTTTTGCAAAATGCGGTAGAAGCCAACGGGGACATCACAAAGGAAATAAAACGCTCAAAAACCGTTGTACAATCAATTTTTACTAATATGGACGGCTACGGATCAAAAATGTACCCTGGACCAATCACAAAATTAACCGACAGGTATCTTGGGCGACTGTTTTCAGAGGCTTCTAAAGCTGGCGCTACCTCTACTTCTATAAAATTGGCCACTGGAATTGATGTGACAGCACGATGCATCCGTCAGATATTGCATGATTCGAAGTACATGAAGCGGAAAAATGCCCCTATGCTTAAACAAAAACACGTTATCAACCTACTAAAACTAGCTGAAAGAATGTGCTTATCGGTGAGAGATTATCTTCAGTGATGAAAAAAGGCTTAATCTGATGGTCCAGATGGGTGGCAATGCTATTGGCATCACCTGAACCATGAACCTGAATTTTTTCCAAGCGGCAATCTGGTGTTGGTTCGGTCATGATTTGGGGGCGTTCAGCCGAAAGGGAAAATCAACTCCAACTATTTTACGAGGGGGACAAGATTCCGAGGCATACCAGCACACGCTATTTCACCCTCTTCTCCCTTTTGCCGATGAGAAACACGAGAGATCATATGTTTTCCAGCAAGACAATGCTTCGATTCACACCTCGAAGTCAGCAAACAAGTGGTTCCAAGAGCAGAATATTAACCTGTTGCCGTGGCCAGCGCTTGTAGTGTTGACCTCAACCCCATTGAAAACCTATGCGGCATCGTGACGAGAGATATTTACCAAAATGAGCGCCAGTTCCAATCTGTGAGCGACCTGAGCACCGCTAACCTTCGTTCCTGGGATAAAGTTCCTCAAAAGGCACTGGATTATTTGGTAAATCGCATGGGGAGAAGATGCATTGAGGTAATTAAGGCGAAAGGAGGTAAGATTGCCTATTAAAACGAGTGTATGGGATCCAAAAACGGAGAAATATATCATGGTCTTATAACTATTTCCACCGAGATTTTTTTAATTTTCATCATTTCTTCCTCATATATTTTGAAAGAATTATTTATTTCATATAGCGTTGGAATCGTTTTTAAACGTAATTTAACCTCTCATAATTAAATTCCAGGAATTTTTCATGCAAGAAAAAATATTCAGAAAAAAAACGGTTGGTCGTATAGTTGTTTCCGCCACTGGATGTAATGCGCGAAAATATTCCATTCTACATGCGCTCGGTGAGGGGGCGATGAAGATGAATTGAATTGATGATGGCAAGTATTCTCAAAAGATTATTAACCTTCAGAAGAGGAACAACAGCGGCATCAGAAGCAGGTGCTTCTGAAGAAAGTCATTGAGAGGCTCGCAGAACAGACTCCGCTTAGGCTGCTCTCGTGTCTTCAGCTCATCTCCAAAATTGACTCAAACTCTAAGGTGAGTGAAGTTTAATTCGTGAGTGAAGATTTTGAAGTTTAATACATATTTCTGCTCCTACGTTTTGTATTCTGGTTATTACCTGGACCGAGGAAGTTGTTGACAGGCTCAAGCTACTCAGTAAACTAGTAGTGAATATGTCGCTATTCCCACCATCAGATCCTCAGCATCGCCAAGCTGCGGGCCGCGCTGCGCTGTCTCAAGCTCGACTACTCCAACCGAGCGATCCTGCGCTCCGAGACCAGGGTTCTCGAAACGCTTGGACACCGAGTAAGGACAGTTTATATACAGTGCTTTCGTGTTCAATACTAATAATCGACTGAATAAAAGTTGTTTTAACAAGTGCAGCTACTCCAGTTGCATGGAGAGTCTGATTGATTAAGAGGTGTACAGGGCCGAAGTCAAGAGTTTTCATTGAACAGTTTCAATACAGTGCTTTCATGTTCGATACAAATAATCGACTGAATAAAAGTTGTTTTAACAAGTGCAGCTACTCCAGTTGCATGGAGAGTCTGATTGATTAAGAGGCGTTCAGGGCCGAAGTCAAGAGTTTTCATTGATAAGAGCATGTGACTGGAAGGATGATAGCACTTGCAGGGCAGCTGAGTGGCTACTAATATTTGCCAGACATGCTCTTTAAAGTATCTACCGAGTGCAAAATAAATGCGTTTAACTAACGCAGTTAGTAGGTTTAGAAGCACACAATTGAATTTGAGATCGCCCGACTGAAAATGAACGTGAAAAACTATGATCATTTGATAATGAGTGTAAGCTTAGGTTGCTATTACCTTCAGTCAATTTGACTTGATTTCAGCAATGCCTGACTGAACGTCTTTCAGCGGCTGCACTTTACCTTTGAATAAATTTACCTTTACCTTTAATTTATAAATTATAACTCTTCTGGCAAGGCAGAATGCGATGTATAACATTGAAACAGTCGATATTTTGACTTTCCCTCCCCTAGACTACAATTTTCTTGGGTGCGTGTGGATATTAAGCATCTAACTTGTGAGGATTAATTTCGTTACAAGCTATGGACGTATTTTGTTGATGTTCCGATGGAAGTGTATAGTCTACCTTGTGAATTTTGGCACACGAGTTGCTTAAATTTGTAGTATGGAGTTCTACACTGATGATATCAAAAAGAATTTAATTGATAATAATATAAAATTTTCATTCGTCTTTTTCATTTTTAAACATAATTAATTTACGATTTAAGCAATAATTAGGCCTTAATTCCAGCACAGTAGTGGCAAGTTTACTTCGTAGTGTTAAACGATGCTGTAATTGTCCATAAAATTCCAGCTAACTTGGAATTGCATTACGAAATTATTTAAAAGAAACAGCAATAATGACAAATTTTGCCCTAGTTTCAGATAATGATGAATACAATTATTCAAAATTGTGGGCAGTGTTCTTTCCCGAGCTCACATTTGGAGTACATCAACCTACTGGCGATGTGCATCGTGTACAGACTGCGGCGGTCATCTGCCAAGCAAGGCAATGTCGATACGACAGTAAAAAACTCGACGACTCAGCGCCGACGTCCGCATGACGGGGACGAACATGAAATGCGTACCAAGAAACGTCGCTGCGATGACCAACGCAGGGAAGGAAATAGAGAAGATCTGCAATTTTCCCGAGAGTTTAAAACATCAAATAAGAATCTAATCAAGAAACTAAAGAATAAGACAAACTCGCCTAAAACCTCTAGCCATTCCAAACCGGACGAAAATACGTCGAAGAAACAACAATCTCCGTCGAAAAACGCCCCTGAAATACTTGATGACTCGCCTGTTCCATCGGATAAGTTTCGAAATGAAGATCATCCGCATGGCGCTGGAAATCTGAGCGATAAAGTACACATTGAACCAAATTTGGCTCGTCTCATTGAAGAAGACATGAGTGATGTACACGAGTCGGCCTTAACGCTCCTAGACGCGTCTTACTTGTACAGATCTGAACTGTATGCTGCATTGCTCTACAAGATTACCGGAAAGACGGAATTAGCACCGAAATTCAGGTAAGGCTGTATGTTGAAACCAGGAAAGATTTATTCCGGGTTCACATCACAAATTAAAGATTATTGTGCAGAACTAGCTGCTTGTTTTGAATAATTTAATATAAAGGTTCATAAGTTAAACCATGCAATAAGTGTCAATAGATTGTTCTTCAGGCTTAACTCCAGATTTATGGACCGACCACGGTTATCAGGAGATGCAGTAGATTTAATGTCAAACTTATTCAGCGTTTACAAATGTGAGAGCAGGGGCGGTCAAGGAAATATTATTCAGGCGAAACTCTAACTAGGTGACAAATAAGGCACTAATTAGCATCGCGACAAATATGACTACTATTACAAACATAAAGCTGCAGCGATGGCAAAAAGTTAAACATAAACTGGATAGCAGAGGCAATGTTTTGAGCAAAAAAAACTTTGAATTTAGACTACACTCAATTACACGATAATTTCTCTTATTTTAATTTCATTTTTTTGGAATATTTTTATTAACTGTCGCATCCATCGAGCGTCTTACTCAGGCTATCAAGTCAGATATAAAAGCATTTTTCTGATGTCATTCTCGCAGAGGATGTGGCAATAGACTGGCAGTTGAATGCCGTGCTTGTTCGAGCATCGATATCAATTGTGTGAGTTTGGAGATGGCATGAGGCTGAGGTCCATCGCTCCTTAAGCATCCAACAAAAGGAACTTTAGTGACCAGTTGTTGAGGATGAGATGCCCACATCCTCCTTAGCAAGCGTCCCCTCTCACAAAACACACGCCAACGATTGGACGTCTTTAAGCTATGGAGGGGCGCCGATGCCGGCGCCGGGCATCGTCTAGCGCTTTTATTGTGTACTTTAACTTTATTTTACAAATGGAGTTAGAAAGCTTTTAAAATTCTATTCGAGACGAAGTTAAAAATTGGCAATGTATGCTTCAAGTGTGCAAAGTAATATTCCGATTTAATGACTGCATGAATTATTGCAAGAAACGGCATGGGTGACAGAAACAATCTGCATAATCGAAAACTTCATTGAACTTTTGATTTATACGATGCGCAAAAGATTGGGCTCGTCATATATAGTTACTATAAACCTCAACGCGGAATAATATGTATGGGCTGACATTGTAGCCAGCCTGCAGGACTGTCGGCCTCGACATATGTCACTGTCACAGCAACATTGACCGATTTGCTCTGATCATGAGAGCCATTGTCCCTGTGAGCGCGGCACTTCTCGCGCTCAGTCGAGAGTGTCTTAAATTTGACACGGACGCATAAAATGAGGTTTCCTTAAGTGGTCCCGTTTATTATGACATTCGCTGAAGTGCTTTTGATTTACCTCCATATGCCATGGAGAGGCACAGTGAAGCACTTCGAGCCTGCGATTCTGAAGCCGTATAACGCGAGTGAAATTCGCATTTTTAACGAAGTGTCATTGTGTAAACAAGTTCCCACCACATTATTTCCCTGTTGGTTCCTTATTTCACCATGCTCACTTCAACTTAAATTTACCATCTTTATTAAGGCAAGGTAGCATCATCAGGAATTTGATGTGGTATCTCTACCTGACTACCTAATATACTCTCTCAGTAGAAACTTTGATGAATCCTCGACACTCTTTAGACGCGGTCTCGTATGCCGTATGCTTGCGAGATGTCTAATTTCTCCCGTGTACATAGTAATTTAGTCATTTTCGATTGCATGTTAACTTTCAACTGTTATCCAGTTTGATTATTTCCAGGCGCGCGTACGGCAGCGTAGAGGACGATCGGCTGTTGCTGTGCGCAAGTTTGCTGTTCTCGGCCTTCCAGATCCACGGCGGCGACGCCTACACAACCGTTGTCGGCCCGCTGCTGGCCACGGGCGCTCAGCTGCTGCACGCAGACATACGCACCTTCAGCGACGTCATTATCTCAACTCTGATTGAAAAAAGACAGTAATGTGTGCGCAAATTAATGTCTGCACAAATTAGGAAGTTTTGCGCACAAAGTTTTTGGTGTTAGAAACATGTGTTATGTTCAAGTCGTAGAATAGCTTGCTGGGAGAGCTAAATTTCTGAATAAGAGGCAATAGAGTTAGTTTCATGAATCAATAAGGAGCGCAGCATGAAAGTGGTATGACGGAATTGAGGGTCCGTGCGAGTTTTTATATGAATTAAACGTTGGATTAGCCAGTCTTGCTAAGCAATTGCGAGATGGTAACTGAGAGATGGCAGTACAACCAGGGCTTCACCAGGATTTCACTTTAAAAATTAAATGCTTGACAGCAACTGTCTGAATGATTAATGTTCTTATCCTACTGCTTCTTAATAAGCTCAAGTGGCTAACACTAATGCAAACTATGTTGTACGTGTTTTCACGCAGCTAGGCAAATACGGTCGGCTTCTTCGGATTCATTTACTTGGAAACACCGCTTTCGATAGTATAAACTGCACCTTGGCATCGCAAAGAAACGATTAATCAAAGCATGTAAATTAAAAAAGCTGTTACAGTTGGTCCATTTTATTGACAATGGCACTCAATGTATCACAATAGAAGACCATACACAGTACAATATTTGAGCCACTTCGAAAAGTTCACCATGGAGAACGACCTACACAACATTGTCACCCAGAAAATATAATTTTCACACCTCCCGACAAAAGCACGGTAAAGAGTATATATTAATTTAAATTTACGAAAAATGTGGAATAAATAAATAAGCCACAGCGAAATTCATTTGCACGAAGATGAAATTTGTCTTCAGCAAATTTAGTTACGTTTAATAGAAACACGTTAACAGATGAGAACGATTTAAAAACGTCAAGTTCCGAGGCTAAAAATGGTTATTCGATACATACGATTTTGAATACCAGACTGGGGGTGGCGAGTTGAAATGATACTTTGAGCAACTCAAGCCAAATTCAGGACACGGTCCCACACAGTAGGTGGTGGTTCATAAGACATTTTATGGTGCACGTTCCTATTCTTCGAAGAAGTAAATACTTCCACGTTATGGATTAGTAAGAAAATTCAAAGTTAAGCGGAGCTCAAACGTATGCCAATATTTCGGGAGTGCGTGCCAAAGTTGTCCCCAGACATGAGCATGAGTCACACGCTTCTCTTCATTACCTATATGACGGCAATAAAATATATCTATTTACAAGAACTATGGGGGAGTGAGAAGATCGGAACTTGGCTACCTCTAAATTAAGGTCTCACAGGAGACTCGCATTCATCAGAAGTGCTGCTAATGCTATCGATAGTCGACGACGTGGCTAACAACAAAATAATCCTGAAGTATTCACAAAATCATATGTACAATAATGCCTTGTTTTTCTATTTTTAACGTAACATTCTAACTTATGAAACTGCAGTTGTCTTCAAGCGTTATTTATCATAAAGCAAAAAATGTAAAAAAGGAGAAAAAATATCTTAATCTTCAAAAATTTATCCCCGACGCACTTTCATATATGCGAGCGTTCCGTTGTGAAGAAGTTTCAGTATAACCAAACGGACTTTCGCGTTTTTGAACTGCGCTAAAATGGGAAGAGTCGTGACAAAATCAGTGGAAAAGAATGCAAAAAATAAAATCGACTGGCACTTGCGACAAAACTACAAAATGAGCTCGTTAACGCTGTGAAGTTATGGGAGAAAGCCTTTTTGGACCTCCAAAAAGCGCGTTAATTCAAATAAATTAATCACGCATGATGCATACTTAAAAAGTTCACTGCTGAACCACTCTGGCAAATGTACAAATTTGCGATCAACCAAGCCCTGAGGATAAATGCACTCCCAGCGGCAAGCCTGAGGGAAGACACGCGAAACACTACGTTTCTGACTGGCACGCATTTGGCAGCACGGATATAATAATCATGACACAATAATGGAGATCAAAGAACATAAATTCAATAGAACGTTCACTATTTTAATACCGACCCTCATTGAGGATTATTTGAAAAAATATTTGAACATTACGGAAGGCAGGAAAGAAGAAATTTAATGCAAGTCTTCAACGTTCTAAGACTAATATACTTCTTATGACGCATTACCCAGTTATTTATTAGAAGTTTGATCCGAGTTTACTAATCTTGCATAACTACAATGACAGTACTGAACTCTAAAAATGGGAAGCATCATTTCAACGCTGAAGTCATGGTTTGCTTTTCCTAAAATACTAAAATATTTATAACTGAAAAACGTTACGAAAAACTCTCCTAAAGTTCTATCCGATTTGAAGATTTTCATAACCCAACATGTGAGAAGCTAACAAGTAATACCAAAAAGCACCAGCAGCATCTTGCAAAAAAATCGAGTCCTCTTGCCTTGCAGGTAAAATGCATCAAGAGAAAATAGTATCTACTCTGAGGCTGTACAAAAATTACAGGCAGTGACAAAGCAGTGCTAGGGGTATGATTCATGTTACACTGTATTTACATACACGTCTTTAGATGGGAACTTCGTGGAAATTCCAGGAAGAAACAAAATGTGCGACTTTCGCACCTCGAAGTTCAGAAATTCTTTCTTTCTGCGTCATCCGTTATCATTTGAGCACACTTCGCTGATATCCCTAAAAATTAGTTTCTTGAGTATCGCCAGAACGGCCTTGCGGTATTAATAAATGTAAAGAATTCAGTTTCTCTGGCATACATAATCCAACACAACATTGGAGATGGTGTCTGATCGCAAGTATAGTGTTAATCGGGAATGATTTTTAAGAAGATTTAATTTACAACCGAACATGCGCCACATGCGCAATTTCAAGTCATAAATATTACGTGAATTTTCTTACAATCCAGGGTCAGATAGATGGGCTGACTACAAAATACTAAAAACTACAATATTCATAACCAGTAAAGAAGCTCAATTTCCATGCAAGTTTACGCATCAACAGCTCATCGAGTTCTACGTCCAAGAGTTTTGTCGAAGCTTGAAATCGGCGGTCGCCACTGACCACAACAAAAGGACTAACAAGATAAGTTTTGTACTGAAATGCAATGCTAGGTAATGTATCGCTTACGAAGCTACACGTATCACATCGATGCAGAAGATACGTCAAAAGTCCCTTGGAGTTTTTCCTGGCAATAATAAATCTAGAGTAAACATGAACAGGCATAGTTATTGGCAAAAGTTGATCACCGTCACCTTCACTTGTCGCGAACGCGTTATAAGGCACACACGGAAGCATATTTGTGTTAAATCATAGTAGATTTATTGACATAACCTTCACCAAAAAAATTTGCACAAATATATCACTTACAAATCTATCATTTTCATTCCAATCGCCTGCTACTATTAACGTTTGCAATGACAATTCTAACTAACATTTACAGGCACGACAAAAGGCACAGTAGATGTTTCCCTGCTAATAATCGATCAACTTGTGTAGAAAGAAATCATACGTAATAGACGAACAGCATCGTTAGAATAATATATTTTGTAGCCCAGACAATGTTCGTTAAAGGTGGGTACCTTCCATTAATGATTAGAATAATCCGTATTAGTGTTAGAACAAACCCTATGCCATTATTTTTATTCAAGTTATGATAAAATTAGCATTTCCGCAGACCTCAAGGTAACGAAACAAACCATATGCTAGATGATGAAAAGTTTGCTTTCAGTAACAACATACGCAACAAGCGAATAATTTGAAAACAAACCCGGGACACTATAATGCATCATTCTAAAAATCTACAATGCCTCGAAACGATTAAATTATTTAAAATGACAGCTCGAATTGAGAAAGTTCTCTGTTTGTGCCCGACAAACATTTTGAACTTTTGCTATATTTAAAACTCAGAATCTAAAAAATCTCCTGCCATGAAGGACATTGCGCACAGTAACAATCTATTTTATAGGTAGGTACAGACTATTTATCAAGTAAGTAACGCTTAAAATAGATACAATGTCAATAAAAACTCCTAGACAGTTCGATATTGATAGGCTCGGTTTCAATGTCTTAGCGACTCATCATCACATAATAAATGGACGAGTTAGGCAGCAAAATACGTTAAATTTCGATAATAATTTGGCCCAAAATAATTTATACAACTCGAACACAGTTATTGGAAAGAGCATAGACATAAAAGAAATTTTCACAGCTCAATTATAATAATTTTGTTTGCTTCGAGTGTTCAGTAATTTCGAGTGTAACGTAAATTGAAAATCTAAACTTTAAAGGCTGAAGTTAGGACGACTGAAGTTGAAAGCAGTTCAAATACAAGATGTGAACATACATTTTAAAAAAAGCGAGCGCCCGCGAGCTCAACTAGACTAGGGAATACGTGGTGGGGTTTGAGTGAAAACTGCGGTGATTGAGAAATGATCATGAAGATGATGATGACATATCTAAAATACAATATGATTACCAAAGCGTTCTCATGCTACTAGTAACATGCTCTTACAAAAATTAAACGTTCGAGCTATCTCTCAGACAATTCCGAAATGTTGCTATTTCGCGAAGAAATTTCATCCTTAACTACTGGTTCAGATTCTATGGCATCCTCTGACTGTTGCAATAAATCTTTCAAGTTAGTAGGAGACTCGCTTTTGAGGTTTACCATAAGCTCAGGTATAGCTAACAAGTCTGGTATGGAAGCGCCAGTCTTGGATGAGCAAGGCGACGGCGAGAATTTCAACAACGTCGCTGAAGAAGTCGAGTATCTTGATGGCGATGATTTGGAGGAACCAACGATGGGAGATTCGCTGGTAAACAATGGAGATGTTTGTCTCCCAGACGCCTTTGATGTCGATGCCGATGACAAAGTAGGGGATGTTCTGAAGAGAGGAGAAAATGATCGCTTGGATGAAGCAGATGACGATGGGAAGAAAGTGGGGGTATTTAAGGTAGGAGTGTTGAGAGTAGTGGTCGAGTCGGTGGGTGAAGTTCTAGTGAGTCCGCGGGCCGCATCATGTCATTGGAAAACTGGCACTGATTTTTCCGAGGGCGATGACATGTGAAACTCAAATGCGGGCACATAATTAGACAGCCGCGGGGATAGTACTTGTGAGGCCGTCAAGGAGGAATATGAAAAAGGTCCACTTGGGAACGTAAAGTGATGTTGACCGCGAGGTGACGTCGCAAAAGGCGAAAACCCGGCAGCAAATGGCGATAAGCTCGCCCAAGGCAGAGGGATGAAGGGACTCTTGGTGTGCATGCCGCTGTATGGAGGAGATGGCAGGTTCACTAGAGGTGTATTCAAGCTAGACGCAGACAGAAGCATAGGAGAGCGTGGAGATCTGACAGGCGAATGGGCGGTAATGTTTTCTATGGAGAGCGGCGATGGCTTGGGCTTACTTCCAGACTTGTGTCTCACAGTAGCATTAAGAGACTTGGATGATCCTGATGAAGTAGACGGTGATGATTGGCATGACGAGAGCCCAGCTCGTCTTTGTAGTTCTGGAGAAGACGGCGGAGAGGACTTAAAATCATGAGCAGGAGAAGATGAAGACATGGTAGATTGAGGCGAACGAGACCGAGATCTTTTTTGCATAAACTTCTTCCTTTCTTCTTCATCGGCTTTGCGTCTTCTTTCTTCCTCTTCATCATCAAGCCTTCTTCTAGTCGCTTCTTCTGAAACTAAATGAAGGGGAGCGGACGATGAATTCGAACAATCCTCAGAGATAGGCGAATTTGAGCGCGAGTAACTATCTTTATCTGTGATCATCTCAGATGAAGATTCGTCCATTTCATGCTTGGTATCTTGCGATGTGATCAAGTCACTAGGGTCTTGTCTGGGCGTTTCTTCTGAAGGCCACAAACTCGGCGTGCCATGCGACGACGAACTTCCAAAGCTTTGCTGTTGATGCTGGGTTTGCTGCATTGCAGCTGCAACAACAGAGTTCTGCATCGCATACGCAGCAGCAGTCAAGCATTTTGAGTAGAATTGGAAATTCAGGTGATGGGCATTCAGCTGAGAAGGATCTGAAAGATAGATAACGGAAAATTGAGCGTTTCTTTAAAAAAAAATAAAAACAGCCGTAGAACTGTCGCCATAACTACTTGCAACTAATTTTATCAACAGAAAATAATATAAGAGAGATCATACAAATAAGTTAATCATTTAGTTCAAATATTGCTGAATTCGATAAACACCTGCAGTTATTATTTGAAAATCGATTGACCGCGTGGACACGTGGATTGAATGTGTTCTACTTCGTTAGAGAAATTACTATAGTACTGCAGATGTGCGAGTGATAAAATCCAAATAAATAATGACATAATAACGAATAAAACAAGATTCAGAAACTAAATAAAAACATGATTGAATAATGCACGTGAGTATATATATAATGTGTCAACGTACTCATGTGGTGGAGATGGGCAGGTGGCGGTGGTGTGAGGTAGTGAGGGGAAGATGAGGCCGAGTATCCCCCAGCTTGCGGGGACGCGGCCGTAACTTCGATGTGGGTTGAGGACATTGCAGCCGCCACCGCAGGTACTGAGGAAGGCGCCGTCGGGGTAATGCTAGGCGGCGGGTTTAGTAGCGACGGTTGGGGCGATGGTGAGGAGGTGCTTGGTGAATATGGACTGGCCAGAGTGGGCACACTGTTGGGGTACGGGGAAGAGTTGTTGCCTGGTGATGGGGACTCTAATTTGATGGAGGGAGTGAGGTAAGTCGTGCTGGGCTTCCCTCCTTCTGGTTTGTTTTGGTCCGTGGGGAATGCGACGAATCTGTGAGAGTAGAGTTACAGGATTAGAAATCAATTAAATAGGAAGAATTGTGATAAAATACAAGTGTTCGCTGTACATCAATATCTTAATTGATTTCAGGACACGAAACTGAAAACCGATCAAATTCTTGGTGTTGCAGCGAGTTGAGAAATAAAATTTAAATTAAATGTATTGATTAAGTGGAAATCGGGGCTAGAAATAATTGCTCGTTCAAAATTGGCAGTAGTGCAATTTTGACCGAACATGTGACATAATAACACGCTAACAACAACAGGAATACGAATACACGCTATCACTCCCAAGAGATTGCGCAGGTAAATATGCAGATAGCCTGCTAACTATTCCCTTGCTCTCACGCCCTTGACTTTATCGTAGGAAGAATATCAGAACACAAGACTTCTCTTCAAGCAGTGATTTCAACCGAGCCAAATCGTAGACGCATCAATATGTTTTTGTAACGAGAGAAAAATTGCCGTTAGGGTCGTTTCAAGGAGGAAGTATGCAAATTTTCCATTAATTAGATGATAAATATTTATCTCTGCCTACATAATGAATAACCGGACGATAGATTATCCTCATTAAAAAAACTCAACAATCAGCAGCTCAGTATGCCTCTTGATCGCGCATAAATCTTGAACAAAATTAAACGAACTAGAAAGATACATCAGTCGAATGATGATATCACCAGACGCTTTCCTCGAGACCTTATCGGAGAGGAAATTGTTAGAAGGAAAATAGCGGGCAACTTGCATGTTCAAGTATTAGCTGCTACCCAATAAGTGGCTTGTACTTCTTGATTGGTAAAAAGATGCCGAGGATCATCGTCCTTAGATAATGAATCCTTCCCGTATCTGTCTTCACCCCAAAAAAATCGTAATAACTGATCGTATGTAACTGATCGGAATGAGAACGATGTAAATAGAGCGTAGATATTTATGGCTCATAACTAATGGAAAGGAAATTGCCATAACATCTGTGAACAACATTCAGAATACAAGATTTAAATAATTTTTGAAATTTGAAGCATTAAATCCAAGATAATTAATTAATTCAAAATACTGGCTGCAGAGGAACCAAATAAAGATGACAAAATGCTCTGCACTACAGCAAAGATTTACTAGACCTACCATTTGATATACGATGAACAGAGTCGGAAGATAAGCTGAAGTGTTGGCACTTGTTTTATCAATGCAGGCAGCAGGATGGTGAATTGCAGCTTAATTATCGGAAGAACTCCTCGTGATAGATACACGACGCATAAAGTTATGATGCAGTTATGATCAAAGAGCTGATGTTCCAAAAAATCTTGGCAGATCAGTTCTTTCTCATTCGTTCAAAATTAATATCTCTTTTTATAATAACCATGACTAATCAATATCTCTTCTTATAATAACCATGACTAATCAATCGTATTAGATCTAAACTGTGCATTTAACGAAAACTTCTTCGTTCTGGTAAGCATAAACTTGAACCATTCAACTATGGTTTAAATAAAGATAAATAGGATTTGAAATTTAAACTTAGTTTCATTAAATATCCAATTTATAAGTGGTTTTGATACCTACGTATTCATTATAAAGTTTATCGGTTTTTAACGTTGCCAATGACGGTACGGGAGTGAGAATATTTTTCACAGCAAGGCAGTGAGAATTATCAGTGGCATCAGCGAGCTACACCTGCGGGATGGTTCGACGCAGTGCATGGAAGTATTTCCACCTGCAGTTCTACACAAGCGATGAGAGAAAAGACGACGTTCACACCAGTCTCAAGTGCATGTTAAAATAGCCTGGAGTTTGACCCCTAAAAAATGACGCAGTACGAGAGGATTTAAATCGTAGAAAATTTCTTATGCGAGACTAATGAAGAATAAAGGCCTGTGAGGTGAGCCCGGATGAATGTATAACGAAAATAGAAATAGTTGACACTCGTCGGACAGAAAATGGAAAAAAAATCATGCGAACAACAGATAAGATGCAAATCAGGTTAAGGTGATGACGAAGAAAAAATAAATGAGAGGAAGCAACATTTCCTTAACACTAACGACTTTTTCGCTCCTTCGAATACAACAAACATTCCATATCACTTTGTATGACAAAGACTCGACCTGAAGTAGACCTATTCCGTACATTTATTATTTCGAGATGAAATGATTACGATAAGTAAAGCGCACTTTAAAGGCACATACTATGAACATTCGATAAGGATAATTTTGAATTTAAATAAGGTTACGTAGATTAAGGAGATCGTCCGCTCATTGGTGTTATTTAGGCAACGCCAATTCACTTAAGAGTCTCCTAAAAAATTGTTGACATATGCCTTGATTGTTCAAGTTTAAAGTTCTCGATATTGAATTCCTGGATATGAGCATAATTTGTATACGCAATAAACAATCATTTCAATAATAAACAATCATTTATAACAAAGAATATGAAGTTAGACAGCCGTATGATTAGTTTCACACAGACGTTAGATTACAAATAACGTGTTTACAATACCACATCGAAAAAAAACATTCGATACCCATTTGGTCCAGTTAGCTTAGACTTAAAAAAAAACAATTTGGCGAGAAATCGATATAGATTGGGGAGCTATTGAGAAAAAAAGCGGCGAAACAACTAAAATAATATATAATTTAACAGCTATAAGCAAATGAAGAACGACTGCAGTGTGAAGGGTTGAAGCCTTTATTGGTATCCGATGCGGTAATATCAGCACATGGCTATAGATGGCACTTGAGAAGAAAGATCGGCATGACAGGCCGCAAGACAAGAAGTGATATGCGGCTTTTTCATGCGAGCTACAAAGTGCATTGCAATCTTGAAGCGTTTCCGGGAGGCGGGTAACAGGAAATGCCTCTAATGCTCAGATGAATGAAGCAGTGCACAGTAATAATGCATACATGAATCAGCATATAATGAAGAACAATATGGTGGGTTTTCAGTTTAGTAAAACAGTAATTCAGAAAAATTAAATATTCGTGCCACTACAAGCATTTATTGCGAAGAAAGAGTAACCTGTCCTGACTCCATATTAATGAACATCGGCTGACTGAGTACCTACCAGAGGCGGTCAAACTTCGTAGTTGGATTCCAATTCGTTATTATGCATAACATAAGCATTTAGTCGAACATTAAGTCAAAATTATACAGGATCATTCATGCAACGCAAAAGATTAAATAACTAAAATCTAGAAAACAAATAACCCGTTAGTATATAACGTATTAGTATCTCCCTTTACACCCAAGATCTTACCTGTAGACAAACTTTTGTCCAAGAACTTTCTTGATGATATTTTTGTCGTAATAATATCTGAGGGCCCTAGAAAGTTTATCGTAGTTCATGTTGTTCTTGTTCTTTCTGAGCCCCCAGAGCTTGGCGACCTCCTCAGCGTTGATGAGCTTGAACTCTCCCTCGATGCCGGTCCACATGATCAGATGTTGATGTTGACCGCTGTTCAACAGCTCCAGCAAGAACTGCCACAGCGTGATGTTGCTGATCATGGCATCGCCTGCAACATTAACGATGTGATGTTATTATTAGTATGTTGGTATAAATCGTATTATCGTACTATTATAAAATTTTCGTCCAAAAAAATGTTGATAAAAAAATGTCGATGAATGAAAAAATTCGTATATAGTATGCACTACACTTTCGTTTATTGCAATAGTTTTTATTAATGCGCAGCATTCTATGAATATTCTTTTTTTTAAGCTTTTTCATTACAGAGAGAAAGAGAGAATCAATTTCTTATCAACTGATGAAATGATTACCCATGACCGTCAAAATTAATTCCTTTATCGGCCTTACAAATATTTGCCGGTGACGTCATAAAAAACCATTTCCTTATCAGAAGAAAAATATGCACGTGACGTAAAATTGATACAAATTTGATTAGCCAAGGAAATGCGTAAACAAAACATCACTAGGACTAAGCTTATCACATTTACCCTAGGCTCATATTGGGTATATACACAAAATGGCTTCATGGGGACGTTCACATGGATTTCCATTTACAAGTTCAGCCACGGCAGACCGTGAACTTTTAATTCTAATTATAAAAGTAAGGCATGGAGGCCAGCTCAAGAATTTTCCGCAGGGTCTAAAAATTTTGGCGATTGTGAGACATTTCATAGTAAATTAGCATATATCTACAGGGCGATTGTGAACATACTTTTTTGTAGCTCAACATTCCACTATCATCGAACATTTAGAGCGTACTGCGTAGCTTGAGGCTACCTGTGCAAATTTAATTAATCCTCTCCATTCACCGAAAAAAATTAATGGACGACACATGAAATTTTGAGGTGAAATCATACTTTTAAATTGTGCCCCTTGCAAGAGACAGTACAGCGTTAACAATAACATGACATGTTGACACGACGACATTCTGGACCGACCGGCTGCGCGTAAATTTCGGAACAATAATATGTTCCGAGAAGACTAATATTAGATATTAAAGATATTAGCGTTTCTTCTAACAATTTTAGAAGAAACGCTAATATTTGAAGATGAAACCGGATGTCTCCGTGAGACCATGACCAACACTCACCCCGACACAACGAATCCATGACTAAGAGTCTCGGTAGCTCTCACCTGACGATGGACGTTTTATCAGTTGCAACTCTTCACTATCGGCCACACAAATTAGATCAGCTCATATCAGCTAGAGAGGCCAAGCTATAAACGTCGATACTAGCGCAAACAGCAATCACGAAAATATATTTATTCTCGCATTGAATATTACAATTTAAGATTTGAGTTCTATACGGAATCCACATGCAAATGGATCTTGGTGAACCGTATGAGGTCAATGGAAACAGATTAGTTACTTCACAATAAAATAAACACATTAGTTACTCTCGCCGAGATTTCTGATCTTGAGGTTAACGGGAATTGCGAGATGCAATAAAGAGGTAGCACTCCATACGCATACAATTTTTTAAATTATTTTTTTTTTTAATTACTGTTCCAGCGATGGTCCAAGGAAGAATACAATTGGAATTTATATGGCAGACAATTTCATGGCATTTGAAAGAACATCACTCTTTTATAGAATGAATCTAACGAAGAATATATGGTCTATTAAGCAGAAGTCTCATAATACCGAAGACAACATTTCTTTGACTATTCGCTTAGTGGACACAACTATCAGTACTGGTAAAAAACAAAGTTTTCGAATAATAATTCGTTTGTAAATAAATTAATATCAATTAAATAGCAAATTCAACCGGCATAATAATCAAATAACACTCTTGCTTTTTGTGCAGTGCTCGCAAACAGTCCGGTGTTGTTTTCGTCCGCAGAAGAGACGACTTCTGGCGACAGTGCAGCGGCGATCTTTCCCTCGGCAATCGCAGCAAAGCAGGATGTTGCAATTACTGCAAGATTGACGCTATTGCTACAGCAATGACTTCATCCTGTGTGCCAACTGAACCGCTTTAAGGGTGGGAAAGACGGATCCCGCCGACTGAAATACGTTGAGTCTTACACGTCAAATGTAGTCATGGTGTTGTGAACTTGACATGTTTTCATACATATTATTTACTGAAGATATTAATCCGTTCGCTGTGGACGAGAAAGTTGTGTTTTCCGAGAATTTCAAGTACCGTTTCAATTTCATGCAATTTCACTAGCTGCACAGTAGTGGCCATTATCATTACTTACAAACATTTAATTCTAATGAATAAATACCAACGGAATCCATAGCAATAATTACACAAAAATTACGTTAGAGTTTTTAACCTCCATAGCTCTCGTCATCATCGCAAAAAGATTGTACGGAATCCGATCAGATTCTCCCGGATACAATATTATTCGTATAGAAACTCTTTGTAAACATACTAACCTTCAGTAGACAAAGGTTAACACAAGCCTCTTAATTACTAATACATATTAGAAAAGAGTTCACCGAAAATTCCTTCACAATGTGAAGCCATCGCTGGGAAGCGAGTCTCACCTTTCTTTGCGGGCGAGTGAGGGTCGCCGTACGCGTCGGTGTCTTCTGGTGGGGAGCTTTGGCGCTCCTCTGACACTCCTCCTCCTCCACCACCACCAGGGTCTGAAACTGGTGAACCACAAGTGAATCAGTGAGTCAGGGGTTTTGCAAGTGAGTCAGGGGTCTTACATCTTGAGGGTGAGGATATAATAAATATGTTCTCAAGTTGTCCAAAACTGACAAGTGAATAAGTGAGTCAGGGGTCTTAGAACTTGAGGGTGAGGATATAATAAATATGTTCTTAAGTTGTCCAGAACTGGTAATCAAGGGCGGAATTAGCAAGGGATGTGTCTAATATCAGAAGGCTGAGAATATAATAAACGTATTATAAGTTGTACCAGAAGTGGTGAACCAGAAGTAAATAAGTGACTAATTAAAGTGAGTGAGGTGACTGACATGAGTGTGGGGAAATAATTAATCATCTCCAGCAGCAAGATTCAATTTATACTAGCTTACATATTGCTTGATCCATCACTAAAACTGATAAGAATTAGGTGGAAATTAGTAAAGACAGACTTCATATTTAAATAATGTTGATGTCTTTATACGCCTTGGTAATTAAAGAAACTGCCGTTGCAGAACTCGTTAATTGAACGAAATAGCTAGATGCGATGACAAAAGAACTCGGTATGGTTGGCAGGTTCGATAGTTGTTAACACTCATTCATCTCATTGGGGTATGTAAGGTATGAACCTGATGAAAATTCATGCAAGAGATAAAAACCCCTTCAAAGAACCCCTTTCGTCAGAAGGCTGAAACAATCTTAGGAACTTCAATTAGTGAATCAGCAAACTTTAGCATCAAAGACCAGCACCAAAGAAAGCGCAATAGTGCCTCAATAACGCTTGTATCAACAGAAAAGGTACTATCCATACGCCAGTAACAGTTGCATCAGTAGATCTATGGCAATTGGTATAATTTTAAATAAAACATCAGTTAATTGCAGGGCATTATAGGGTAACATTAAGGGCAAGACGTTCTTACGCCGTGGTAGGCCGTCGCCAAATCCCTTGAGCGCACAACGCGGGCAAAAACTAAAGGTTAAGTAACTCTGGAGGACAGCAGAGCCCTCCTCTGAAGAACAACAGTGATGCAAACAAGCGGAGCTTGTACGTAGCAAGCTTTACGGTAAGAGACTGACCGCTTCCTGCCAACAGCTGGGTGACCTTGTGGGCCTTTTTGAGGGGAGCATAAGTGCAACACATCGGCTTCTGGTGTGGCTGAGGAGTTTAAATGGTAAGGGTCACGGCGGTATTCCCGATGCGTTTGAGCAAACAAACTGGTCACCAGGGACGTACACAATCAATCCACAAACTCACAACACCAACTCAAACTTACAGAATTTATTTGCTAGCGGGTGCAGTATTTACTGTTTATAATCAGCAAACGTGCGCTCCGAATTTCGGATGAAGTAAATGGCGGGGAGCCACTCTGCCACTAAAGTATGTTTTCATCTATTCGTTAGCCGGTATCTCACGTGGATTGGGTGATGTTATGAATGAGGTACAATATAATTCCACTAAAATTTCTTTATCTACCACATTGTATTGTTGATATTCATTAGGCTCAACTCAAAGCAATTCCGTCAATATTTTGCAACCACCAAGAAATGACAGAAAAAAAGCTTGGCCACTTCATATTTTTTTGGCTGCTCGTGTTAAGTGATTGCACAAGAAGTTTGTTGAACGTCTGCGACCAACAGGATTCGTTTTCTCAAACAAATTTGCCTTTCGTTTGAGGAAAGATTCATAAAATTTATAATACGGATGAAAAATACTTTCTTGCAATCGAAGAATTTAATCGTTCTTTAAGGCTTCCGGAAGTTGTGGCAACGCCAAGGTTGGAAAAACATAACTGAAGTTTGAAAGAGTCTCGAGTGTAGATGAGAAAAATAGCAAGAGATGACAGCTCAAGTCACTTGAGCAAACAGGAACGAGCTGCTGTACATCCCCGTGCTAACACCGAATCACATCGTATCAAAGTGCGAGCTCATATGAAAATTTGTTGTAAATTACGAGATTTTTTGTTAAGAGGAGACGTCGAGGTTTGTAAGTCGAAGTCCAAACCCATTGTTCTCTTCAAAATAGACGAGTCTTCAACTGAAAGCAGTGGGTGATTTTATGAAATGAAAGCACTTCGGAAGATTTTGGACGCAATTTAGAGTGCAAGTTTTTTTATTTCGACAAACTTCAAGAGGTGCGGAGGTGAAGGAAATAAACTTGCACCACCAGTATTGTACGCGAGGTTTCAATCGAAATACCACAAACCGTATTCACCTTAGGAAGCCAGTTCAAAGATACGAGATACGGACACATCAACCGCAGTCAATGCTGCTAGGACATGAAAACTAAGGTATATCTAGTTATCGCTAGTATACATAGGGTTATAGGATTATAGCAGATCGTGCCCCTCTGCATGCGGCAGTCATTTCCTAGACGTGGAGCACAAAAAATGTTCCAAAGCTTCATTCCTTATGTCTGCAATATAGATGGTATTCGCTCTAGGGCTCGCGATTACAGACCTGCACGTATATATTTTTTGAACTTCCAATTTCACTGAAAGTATACCAGGTGATTCACGTAAATTTTCTGTTTCGAATTTCGTGCCAAGCAGCCAGATGTTGTAGGAAAAGGGCGGGAAGCATTTCATATTAAAGGCAACGTCATCAAGTTTTGTCTCCCGCCTAGTCAGTTGCCACTATGCATTAGACAAGTGAGCAGCGTGCGTTTGCTGTCGAGGCGTACTTTTCTAATGGCCGTTTTGCAAAGTTGTCTCCGTCTGATACAACATTTTGCAGAGCGCCTCCTCTCTTTGAGAGGTTACCTTTTTGGCCGGTCCAATGCCAAACTTGGATCTGAGAAATTTTTTATGGGGCTATCATAAATCAATTGTTTATAATGACTGTCCAAGGACCCTAGCTCATTTGAAGAACAAACGCCAAGCCATCGCCAACATACTCGTCGATATGCTTCAACGATTTGAACATAACTTAAAAAATTGACTAACTGAATGTATATATTGAAAATAGGGGCTGTCATTTGCCCGAAGTGATCTTTAAAACTAAGTAGTAGAAAAATTCAGGTAATGTCTTTTTCAATGAAATTTATATTGTAATGATATCTTCACTAGTTCTTTCTTTACTGAGTTTTTAAAGCAGGAAAGTCCCGAGAACCACGCTGAATGTAGATAAATTGTTCAATGAGCGAGCAACTAGCGTGAAAAACTCTTCGTGGGTTACGGTATGTATGTATCAACAACGAAATTAAGAGGGGTATCGATCAAACAGTGTTGAAAATTAACACTATTTCATCCACGAAACACAACAAACTTGATGATCAGCAACTCCTTTGCTTCAAAAGAATAGATGTGTTGTTGATACAAGCTAGCCTGTACGAAGTGCAAAGAAAATAAATCGAAAGACATGCTAGAAAAACAACGGGCAAATAGAGATTTTTTGTTACCAAGGAAAGTAAACACTACCATGCACTGTTTTCGAACACTGAATAAAATGTCTAGAAAGTTTTTAATTGAAAATTTATTTAATAGATCAAGCTTTCTCAACGCAAGGGTTCATTTTAGTACCCTTAAGAAATAGGCTTAATAGCTCGAGAGAAACACGAGATCTTTCTGTATCATATAGTAACCACATAAAATATTAACTAATAATAAATTGTACCAACACAATCTATAAATATTTACATACTGATATTAAACTTGTTTACTTTGGAATAATTAGAACGTTATAAATTTTAATCTGATAATTCCGTCGACCGTATATTTACTTCTGGATTGTTCCACGTGAAACTAGAAGCGTCTCATTTCCGCTGAAAAATGAAATGGAAATGTTGTAGAAATTCTAAGCTGAATTTGACCATCAACACGAGAACTATCGGATACTGGAGAATAATTCTTTTTTAAAAGATACCTGAATATATGGCAATTTTCTAAAAGGTACTCGACAAAATAAAAAAATGACTTGTCCTCGGGAGGAGGTTAAATGGTGGGACTTCTGTGTCGCATCAAACGAAAGGCACAAAAAACGGGGGTTTGGGAATTCAATTGAGTCCGCCTGGTTCAATTTTCCAATAATTTTATGTTGTCATCCAACTAAACACAACTACAAAACTAATATGCAAAATGAGATGGTAAATTGAGTTGTGATAAAGGGGTACGATGATGGCATCATTCTTGTTTTATACTCATGGAAAATATTTCCAGTATCGAATTAGAAAACTCGAATAATAATTCTACCGACAATAAAATGCTTCTGATTTCTATTGCAGTGGTAGTCTGCATGTAGCAACCATGTAGTGACTGATGCAATAGGCGCAAAAGTATTTATTCGGCAGCCTAACTGTTGGCACCAGTCCAGTCCTCTCTATACTGTACACTGTACAGTCATTTCTCAAGGGAAAAGTGACTCAGCAGAAGACTTGTTGCCACCAGCCAGGGTGCTTTGAACTTGACACAGTCGTAAATTGATATGAAAATACACACAGGTGTAGCTACATCGCCCCTCGAATATACAGCTGACATGCTGGCTCTGTAGTATTGGTTCTAGTGCGGATAGTCAGCTGAATGCATGTTAAACAAACAATATGATTGAGGAAAAGTTTTGTCGGTGTGAAAGGTAGACTCAATTAAGTCATGTAAAACGGTTCACATATAGTTGAAGCACCACAGATCCATGAAATGTTGAGTGATCTCAAATGACCGATTTAAACTGAATAATGGCAATAGTGCGCGTCTCAGATGGCAGATCAACATTTATAATGTTGCCGTTGACGCTACTGATCAGTTGCATATATATACGCGTTGACGCACCTCAAACTACAGACGAGAGTAGAATATAGGCGCGGAGAGGCTCTCAAATGACCTTTCTACGTTGAATATAGGCGCAGAGAGGCNGTGTATAAGAGACATGAATATAGGCGCGGAGAGGCTCTCAAATGACCTTTCTACGTTGAATATAGGCGCAGAGAGGCTCTCAAATGACCTATATCTACGTTAAATATAGGCTCAGAGAGGCTCTCAAATGACCTATCTACGTTGAATATAGGCGCAGAGAA